AGCTCATGTGCCACGAGCTAGAATGGAGCTACCCCAACTTTTTCCCTTCCATCCCGGTGCTAACTGCCGCCCCCGCATCCGGGGTACGGGATGAAACGGTCCAGGCAGAATGGATCGTGTGGAAGCGGGTATGGGGGGATGAAGGAGGCGAAGCTGGGGAAGGCTCATCGGATGCCGGGTTGAGGCTACGAACTTGAGGGGGGCTGGAGATCCGATAGAGTCGAAGAGGGAGGAGGGGGCATTAGGGGGAGGGGAGAGACAGAGATTCGGTAACATACAGCATAAAGTTAATCGAGGAACCGCCACCGAGAATTCCTCCAGTCGGGACAATGGGAGCGCGGCCTGCCAGCTTGTCGGATGCGTTGCCCTGGTAAAAGATTGCGGTCTTGCTCGTCGGCGCAAGGTGGTCGAGGAAGAAGGCCGGGTGTACGACATTGGGGACATCGCGGTTGTTTGTGCCGCCTTCAATGACGAGGATGGACAATTGAGGGTCGGCGGCGGCGAGACGACCAGCGAGGACGCAAGCTGCTGTTCCGCCTGGGAGTGAAGGTCAATATATGAGAATGTTGGTCGGGGTGTAGGAGTTGTGATAGATACCTCCAGCGATGATCACGTCCACCTCTGTGATATCATCAGCCAGTTTGCTGTAGAGACCCATGGCTACGGTTTCGCGCAAAGTCAATGTGAACTCAATTGAGCGGCAAGAGATTTCAGAAACACACACGCGCGTGGGGGTGATTGAGTGTGTTGAGCAGAGAGTCGGGATGAAGCAACCAGCACAAACGAGCGGCTCGCGGACCGCGATGGTTACTCTACTTTATATATCCTTCTCCGCACGCCACGTCGCAACGTTTGGAGAAATAAATCCACAGGGCTGTTACGCACGCTCGGGCGGAATGCAAGCAGGGTGTATTCCGCCGAGATTCCGCGTTGCGCTGATCTATCAACAAGAGAGAGACAAAGGCCTATCGGTAGAGGAGGGGGCCCTTGGAAGGCTTGGGGCTGCATTTCGAGAAGCTCGAGGGGCCACATGGACGCACAGATGGCGGCGAACACGTCGCAGGTTGCGGACAAGCGGAGAGGCTACTGAAGGCCCCGATGTGACTAGGACCCTGAAGGAGGAGCTAGTTGTCGGGTGCGGGGATGGGATGGCAACGATACATAGACACACAGAGATGCAGACGCAGTGATTGTGCAGACGACTGGAACTAGACACAACAGACTCAACAGAGTACCTACGGGTGTTGATGTTATGTTGCACTAGGCAGGACAACTATGGGGCGAAGTTGATACGGGGAAGCATGTCTGAGGTGTGGGCGCTTAACCGACCCAGCCAATTGAGGTTATTTGATTTACCAACTTGGCTAGGTTACAACTCCAGGGTTCCCCAACACTATGAGAGACTAAGTGGGCTGCTCCAGTTCGCTCCATGTTTTCCGGATGGCGCAGCTGGGCAGCTTTGAGTTCAGGGCTCGTTGGCTGGCCCCTTCTAGTGCCTTTTGGGAAAACAACTTCGGACTCGGGCGCGAATTCTTGACTTATACAACGAGCCTAGGTCTAAGAGGCATTCATACGCCATATGGAAGTCTTCTGACTCGTCGGGGAGTTAAGCGTTGAGGAGGGATGCATTCATTGTGTGTCGGGATGGGGCTGTTGGCGGGCGATCATGGGGGGAAAAGAGGGGACCAAAGATGCGGGGAAGGGTCACTAAGAATAGTCTGGCGAGGGGACGCAAATCTCATAGTGTCGATTTCCTGTGCCGAGGAAGAATACCTTAGGTTCGCAGAGTATCATAGACAGGAAGACATTGAGTAGTTCCCTAGGTGCCGCTGAAGAATCAAATACATATGCCTGTAGACTGTCAATGACAACGTCGTACTCGTGGGCCGCGCAGGGATGTTGCTGACTAGATGCGTGCCGCGGCCCAATCTCTGGATGGGGAATATTCGGATGGTATGTTAACAACTTTGTCTCGTCGTTCCCATCATCCAGGGTCCATCGTAACTGTTGGCCCTCAGTCATTGGGGGCAAGGTTTGAAACGGGACTTTGGTGTTCCCATACTACGATGTGCTTACTCACTACTACCTGAGCAGGGCGAAGGGGGTCCTTAGCTCTGAGTACAAGGATGCGCTGGCCCGCATTGGCGATGGAACGTGAACTCGGACTAGATAGAGTCACCGCAACTCGAATCACACCTCCAGGAGTCTCAGTCTCCCAAGTGGGCAATCGCGATTCAGATTTGACAACTTAGTTGAAGTTGGAATTGCCATTGTGAAAACCTGACTATAGTCGTAAGAAATCATTCCAATAGTCCCAATCCAAGTTTGCCGACTCAGTGAGTCCCAGCGGGTCGAGAGTCTGGAAGTCTGCCGCTGGCACCTGCGGAACTGGCGCAGGTTTCTGCTGCCTCTGTTCCCGAAGCAACTGAATATACCTAGGCGGATTATCGGCTTCATGGCTCCCCTGGACGTTGACCAACTCTCTCCTCCTGGCTTCCCAAGCTTCCAATGTCAGGTCCCCTAGCGCCACGTAGAAGGAACTTCGCGTATTCTCAATCAGTTCCGGATGATATCCGTAAAGACTCTCTATAAGCTTCCAAGCCAAGGCGACACGCTCACCAGAGACCCTCTTTCGGAGATCACTGAGGATGTAGATGTAGACATCCACGGTGAATTTCGTCGTCATGTGTGCGATAAAGTGCGAGGAGAACTTGCTGCTCATGGCAATCTCCATCATTTCCAGCCAAGTCACACTCCAGTCAAAGACTAGGTCGCCCTCCTCGCGCGTCATGAAAACCTCTCCGCTGCTGTTGGCTCTGCCTCGCGGGCTGTGTACCTTGCACCGAAAGCGAGCCAGCGTGAGCCTGGTCATGGTGTACACCAGAGCATGGAGAGGAATGTTTCTATCCAGGTGTCGAATGAACTTTTCGTGATAAATGGCCTCAATCTCGTTGATTGCATCGTCTTCCAGCTTCGACGGCGGCTTGTCCTTCCCAGGGCCGTGGATGATGACATCAAAGACCTTGACAGCTCTACTGGAAGATCTGATGATGTTGAAGGTCTCAAACTTCATCAATACGCAGAGCATTTCTGTTGCGCCTGGCTGCTCTTGTGGTAGTTCCGTCATTTCCGGATGCAAGTCGGCGTCGTTGACGTTGAGCGGGAGGCGGACATCACCGAACTCACTTTCGGATGGTGGGAGTCGCATGCCCGCAACTTTGACAATTCTCACTCTAGAATCCAATCCGTTCAACTGCCACCATAGACGTATACGCATTTCAGTCTCGAAAACCGATACTTTGGGATCCGGCTTTGGCCTGTTCAGACCCATCTTCTGACTGATTCTGATGGCGGCACCTGTGAGAGTGGACGTCAACTCCGAGTCTGGGTCAGAGAAGAGAAAGAGAACAAAGGCTTGCAAGACTTCAAAGTCTCGCGTGGTGAGGAAGTCGGCTGCTATGAGAGCTCGCAGAGCGGCGGTCCGATAACGCAGTATAAGCGTACTCCTGGCTTCGCCAAAGGTAGCCTGGCAGCCCTCGATGGACGTGGAGGTCACGGCTAGAGTGTAAATGGCGAATAGCATGGCTGTGAGCGGCTTTGATGCGCTGGCTGGGTTCCAACTTGCATCTAGAACCTGCTGCTGTAGAGTCGGCACATGGATGATCTTCAACAATGGGTTGACGGCCTCGACAAAGATCTGCCAAAATCGGTAAATATGCCTTGGGTCCGGGTGGAGCTGTGAAATTTCGGGTTCAACGGTCGTCATCAAAACATGAAGCGATGGCGTTGGAATATGCAGAGGGTCTTCTTTCCGAGTGAGGCACTGCACGGGCGGGTACATGAGCTGTTATACAAGTCAGATACGAGCCGTTTGTTCAACAGCACGGGGACTCTTACCTCTGTCGGGAGAGTTGACCAAAGACAACTGGGAATATCCAATCAGCAAGTGACGCCGTATTCTACTCCGTTCTAACACTGACCGCTCTGTTGCCATGGAAATTCCCTTCAGCAATTGAGTCGATGAGCTCTGGTGATCGAGCGGAGACGTCGCAGAGGATATCGCCTCAGATTTATCTTGCTTGATCCGTCCCTGAGGCCCAGACGTAATCCAACCATGAGAACACGGCGTGAAGTCGACATTGTGCTTCCGCATCAAGTCCTCGTATGCGGCCAAGCGCGCAAGGAGCTCCTCGTCAGCGGCTCGTTTTCGAGGTCGCGGCGGAGCTGGTCCTTCGTAGAGGCATTGCGCCTGTGCCTTTGTGCAGTTTGAACATGGCTCAGCTTTGTCGCATTTGATCTTCCTCTTTGCGCAGAGCGAGCACGCGTGCTTATGCTGCCCTTGAAGAGCCGTGGGTTGCGGGGTCGTCATGGGCAGAACTTTGAGAAATGAGAGACAATCTGCTTGAGGTGAAATAAGTATCCATGCACATCAAATTGATTGATTCTCATAAGATATCCGGACTCTTACCGGACTTTTGGAAAATGTCCGGAACGGCTGTGAGGTTACTTGTGGTGAAGGATGCGCGTCGGGATGGCGCCAAGGAAGATGTCGGGGCTCTCGGGTCTTAAAAGAGCTTAGCGTTTCTTCTCGGCCTCCGTCCGAGGAATTGCTCCATTCTTACTATGATACGCTCAGAAAAGTCTAACCTCTTTTGGATCTTTCGGGCCCGAGACGTCTGGGAGGATCAACTGTCTAAACCCAAGATGCGTCAACAATGGGTCCTGCGATGGGCTATTTTGCCGTTTTCCGACGACGGACTTTTCCAAAGTTAGTCTCTTGGAACAAATGGCTTTCCTTGCACATGTATAAAGAAAACGGCATCCCGAGGTCTTGGCTTCTGGTCTCTTCACCTCGACAGCTCAAGCTTACTTCAAGTTCCAATCACTTGATCCACCCAATATCTAATATTCTACTCTAACTGCTCTTCTAACAATACCAACTCTACCAAAACTCCGATCCTAGCTGCCTAATACGTTTCAACGACGACCGAACTTTCAAGATGGCGACCCAACCAAGCACACATCCCGAACCAACCAGGGACAACGAGTCGAAAGCTTCGACCATTGCAGAGCCATCTTTCAATGACGATGATGCCAAGACCGAGAAAAACAGTTCAGAAAAGCTCGAGGATGGAGGAAAGTCCGTAGATGATACAGAGTATCCGACAGGACTCAAGTTCGCCTGTATCATGTCGTCTGCCTTCATGTGCATGTTTCTAACTTCCTTGGTAAGTTTCTTCACCATGAGTTTTGCTACCCGGGCAGCACTGTTTGGTTATTCGGGCAGTAATCCACTTAGGCAGCCGGGCGTCCACGAGCCACAGAGGTATAGATAGAGACAATAAGCTAACGAAAACGCATTACAGGATCGCATGATTATCACGACAGCCATCCCCAAAATCACCGACGAGTTTCATTCCGTTACCGACATAGGCTGGTACGGATCGGCATACCTCCTTACCCAGTGCGCTTCTCAACTACTCTTTGGCAAACTCTACACCTTCTTCAGCGTCAAAGGCACGTTCCTCACTTCGCTCTTCCTCTTCGAAGTTGGATCCGCAATCTGTGGCGCGGCACCAAACTCGGTCTCGTTCATTATTGGAAGAGCCATCGCTGGACTTGGCGCAGCCGGCATCCTTAGCGGCGTGGTAAGTCTTGAATGTCATGGTGCACAGTCAAATCAAGGTCTGACTTGCAACTATGTAGGTCGTCATCATCGTGCACGCCGTCCCGCTTCGCAAACGGCCCACATATCAAGGACTCTTCGGTGCCATCTTTGGCGTCTCTTCCGTTGTCGGACCTTTGCTTGGAGGTGTCTTCACATCAAAGGTCACCTGGAGATGGTGCTTTTACATCAATCTCCCCTTGGGAGGCTTGGCAGGTAGCATCATTTTCTTGATCCTTACCATTCCGGACAGAGATGCAACGAAGCTTGATTTAAAGTCTAAGCTGGCACAACTCGACTTCTTTGGTACCGCTCTGCTTATACCGGGATCGGTGTCGCTGATCTTGGCGATGGAATGGGGTGGCTCCACGTACGCTGTAAGTTTACATCTCCAGGAAACATCTGGTTCCAATTCTGACCATGACCTACAGTGGAACAACTGGAGAATCATCCTTCTGTTGGTGCTCGCGGCCGTACTTCTCGCCGGGTTCGCCCTGGTCCAGGTCTTCATGCCGAAGACAGCCACACTCCCTAGCAGAATCTTCAAGCAGCGCAGCATTCTGGCCGGCGTCTATGCTACCATCTGCAACGGATCGCAGTTGATGATATTCTGTAAGTAACACCAACAGCACAGACTGCGCACGTTACTTAAACTAATGAAACTCAGCCTACTATCTACCAATCTGGTTCCAAGCCATCAAAGGCGTCTCCGCTGTCGAGTCCGGAATCCGTCTCCTGCCACTCATGCTGTCGATGGTAGTGGCCACGCTGATGACGGGGGCCCTTGTTCGTCGCATCGGCTACTACACACCATTCATGATTGGAGGTATCTGCCTAATGGCTGTCGGCGCAGGGTTGATCTACACATTCGAGGTCAACACCGACAGCGGCAAATGGATTGGCTATCAAGTCCTTTACGGCTTCGGCTTGGGCTTGTCAACGCAAGCGCCAAACCTCGCAGCTCAGACAGTCTTGCCGAAGAAGGACGTCCCGGTGGGAATTTCCCTCATGTTCTTCGGCCAGCTCATCGGCGGAGCCATCTTTCTTGCAGTCGCCCAGAACATTCTCAACACCCAACTGGTCGAGCGGCTCTCTTCGGTGCCCGGGCTTGATGCCCAAAAGATTCTGGACAACGGTGTCACCTCTCTGACGGATCTTCCCGCCGCCATTAAGACGACGGCTCTGATCGCGTACAATGAGGCGATTAGACATGTATTCTTGGTCGGTCTGGTCCTCGTGTGTCTCGCCATATTTGGTGCTTTGGCTTTAGAGTGGAGGAGCGTCAGGCAACCTGAGAACAACAAGAGCGACAGCAAGGCATAGGGATAATAACGATGTTTTTAAGATAGACGCGTAGCCAATAAAGCAACACACAACTCATCAAGACACCTTCAGCGTTCTCAGAGCGTGCAGGAAGCTTCGATGAAATTGAAGTTGACCCCAGGCAAGAACTAGTGCATTATTGTAAAGCTCATGGCAGCTTAATCGCGACACGACGCTCTCAACATGCCAAGAAAGAATCACATGCGGACCTCAAGCCGCCACCTTCTCCGGACATCAGCTGAATGACCGCACTTAGAGAAGGGCATTCGGTAGCATGAGACGGCAAATGGCGATGGCTGACCAATTCTCATAGCCTTCTATGCAAAATAGCTCTTCATGGATAAGATGATGCAATCTCTCACCGCGCAGTATGGATCTGGAATGATTGGGCGGACTCCTGTCTAGCCATACCCCTTCGGGACAACCGACCGACATCCGAGTTCACACCCCGGAGCCCCGGCGAACTCAAGTGGGGCACCCGAGCCGGCCTCGCTTGCCGGAATCCTGGAATCATCTTCTTGAGTGGAGTCTTGGCCCGAACTCTCGGTTGAAGGTGGACCATTTAGCAATGACGTGCTTTTTCAATGCAAGATATAAGGTTTTTAGAGGGATAGCGAGGAACCTGGAGACTGTGGTTGTTCGCTTGCTCAGTACGGTCAGTCATACGCCCATCGTTTTGGGCACCGTCGTCAAGATGGTCAAATCGACAACCTCATTGCTCACTTTGGCCCTTTGCCAGCTTTTCCATATCAGCTGTGCTGCAGCTGCATTAAATGGATCGGTTTATCTTGACTCGACACGCTCTCCCGCAGAGCGAGCTGACGACCTCTTGCGCCTCATGACATGGGAGGAAAAGATTTGCCAGCTCGGAGGTTAGTCGGAAAGCTTGCGGAAGCCGGGCTTTATTAGTGACCTCAACTCGTAGGAATAAGACGACTTGCTGAGACCGTGAACGGCAAGGTGTCACACAACGCAACACTGTTCGAGGAGATCCGCAAGACCCAGAATGGGCAAATTGGTGAGCAAAACTTGGTAGCACTACATCTCGGCGTCGATATTGAACATACCGCAGGCTTCGGGGCACCCCAGAATTACGCGCTTGATCTGTTGCCCATCGCCAACAAAGTCAGAGCCGAACAGATCAACAATACTAGACTGGGCATTCCGTACATCACAGTCGCAGACTCCGTCAGTGGTCTCATGATTTCCGGTGGCACGCTATTCCCTGGTGCCCTTTCTATGGGCTCAACCTGGAACATCCCTCTCTATGAGCAAGCCGTTGCTGCTATTCGGGATGAAAACGTAGCAATGGGTACTCGTTGGGTCTTGTCACCAGAGGTTGACCTCGCTAAAGATCCTAGAAATGGCAGAAACGGCGAGATGTAAGTGCTTCAGAACTGCTGTATTACTTCTTTCTGATGCATCTTCCTAGGTTCGGTGAAGATAGCTACCTCGTCGGCGAGTTTGCCACGCACTACATCAACACGATGCAGGAGAAAGATGAGAACGGCTTCGTCAAAGTCGCAACGACAATCAAGCACTGGGTTTACGGCTCCGGCAGTGGAGGCGTCAACACCGCTAGTATCCAGAGTGGCCTGAACTATATCCTCAACGAATACGGTGCTCCCTATGTCAAGGCCTTCAGAGAGGCAAACCCCTTATCGCTGATGATATCATACGCCAGCGTCGATCAGATCCCCATGTCCATGAACAAGTACCTGAACAGAAAGGTTCTTCGAGAGATGCTTGGCTTCAAAGGTCTCATCATGTCTGACGCCGGTTCGATACGCAATATGTACACCCAGTCAAAAGTCGCCAAGTCGTTTGCGGACGCCGGGCTAAAGGCTTTGCGGGGTGGGCTGGAGCACGAGCTTTCACCGAGACCGCCTTCTGTATTCCCCACGCTCATCAACTATTCGAACGATACCGAGGTCATGGACCTTGTCGACATCTCTGTTCGGGCGATTCTTGAGATCAAATTTGCCACTGGAACCTTTGATCTGCCTCTTCCCTCGGTCGAGAATTTGAACGCGACTCTTCGCAGCGGAGAGCATCTTGAAATCAATCGCAAAGTCTCACGCGAGGCAATTGTGCTGCTTCAAAATGATGGTACGCTGCCTTTACAGCGCAGCAAAGTTTCCCAAGTTGCTCTGCTGGGACCCTATGCCGACATTCTCAACACTGGCCAATATGCCGCCAACAACGCCTCGGACCTGTCTTATGGCGATACGTTCCGTCGAAGTCTGGAGCGAGAAATTGGTGCGGAAAACGTCAAGTATGTTGCAGGAGTTGACATCTTGCGCACGAATGACAGCTCGGACATCGAAACTGCTGTCAACGCAGCTAAGGAAGCGGGCCTTGCCGTTGTGGTTCTCGGGTCCGGCTGGGGGTCTTTTGACAACTCGTACGAGTCTCTTCACCGAACTGACGGTGAGGGCTTCAGTCATCCGCACTTGGGTTTCCCTGGGTTGCAGCAGCAGCTTCTCGATGCGGTGATCAATGCCGGCGTGCCAACTGTGTTGGTACTCAGCGGAGGGCAGACATTCCTGCTGGACGAGTCCGCCAAGAGGGCCAAGGCTATCATCCACACTTGGCTCGCCGGAGAATTCACAGCTGACGCCTTGGTCGAAATTCTCTTTGGTAGTGTGAATCCAAGTGGCAAGCTTACAATCACTTTTCCGGAAGCCGACGGCGCGTTCCCCGTGGCCTACGATTACTTCCCGTCCGATGATCAGGGTGGATTTGGGACGGCGACGCAGTATGATTGGCACTTGCCAGAGCTGACACGTTATGCTCCTTTGAGATTTGGCTTCGGCTTGAGCTACACGACTTTCAATATTTCTTCCATCTCTCTCCAATGCCACTCAGTCGTTAACAACGGCACTGTCAGTGAGTGTGATAAGAACAGCCAAGTCACTGTTTCTGCTACAGTCACGAACACGGGACCAAGAGATGGTCAAGAGGTGGTGCAACTCTACTATCGTCCAGAATACAGCCAGATCGAATTTCCGGTCATGAAGCTTATTCGCTTTGAGAAGATTGTAGTCGCAGCAGGCAGTTCGAGGAAGGTCAGCTTGAATGTGCCTTATGCGGAGCTGGGTTACTTCATTGACGGGGAGTGGCAAGTCGAAACAGGGTTGTACAACTTCTGGATTGGGAGCAGTTCGAGGACACAAGATTTGCAGGGGGTGAATGCGACTTTGGTGTAAAATAATCTCCATATGTATTGTCGATGGGTCGCAACTTTAGCCAAATAATCGAATACACAAACGATCGATACAAATTGTTCAATAAAAATCTCAGGCGGAATTGCTATGGTTTGGTCTTAGGCCTTGGAGGCCAGAACAGCCACTGAACGTTGGATCTATTGGCTTCAAGAACCAAGTTATCACCTGGGCGGAAACCAAAACCTATTCATCTGGAAGTTTTCTTGCAAAACACTCCGGACTTAAGATGCTTCTCCAGGTGAAGATTTGGTCGCATGTTGATTTGGGTTGGCTACCACGGTTGAGGGGCACATGGTTTACTATGCCTTACACTTATCCCTAGGCCTTTGGGCCATGTTGGAGGGATTTTGGTGTGAACCAATCAAAGACTAACTTTGTTGCCATGACACATGCGGCACAGTACTTTAGACACATATTCCAAGGTGGCACGGCTCACTCTGTCATCTGACGAGAGTTGGCATAAAAGCTTGGCTAAATAATTGGATTGAGTAAGGCAAGATAGGTGAGACCTGGTTGTTAGAGCCTTTGACTATCTGAGCGGTGATTCTACCAAGTTCCCACGTGTCAGAAACTGGGCATCCATGATGGGTATCCAAAGCGCGCTGTCTACGTCATCATTAGCTTGTGCATCATAAGGTGGAAGAATAATAGCTGTGACGACATACATGTTGACATCTCGATATTGAGTTGGAGCCAAAGAAAGTCTTTTACTTCTTGCAGCAGCCGTCAAGCTCGCACTCGACATTGTTGTTGGGCTTGCCAGGGCAGAAGTTCAGTCTGTCGCAAGCCCCGCAGTCAACTCCACGACGACCAGGCTGGCTGAGCGCAGGAGGGACATCGGTATCGAGAGCAACGGCGGCGACGGAAGCAACAAAGAGGATGACGGTGGAGAACTTCATTTTGCTGGACTTTGACCGGAAAGTCTGATTTAGGTATTATAGTATGTGATAATGTTGATGAAATCGTTGAGTGTATAGTAAGATGGTGGGCTGGAGATGATTGCTATTCCAACCATCTTGGCGGGCTTCCAAAGATACTTATCTCTTTCTGCTGGCCCGCCATCTCGAAAGTCGTGTTGTTCTTGACCTGTTCCTCTGAGCCATCATCGCGGTTGTCTTATTGTTGAGTCATGTCAACAAGGGACATGAGACGGCGCCTGACATGTACATTCTTGTCAACCCAGAGAACGGGAACGCCGTGAGGCCGGACTGAAACGCTGAGTGGTTACAGAGGAGAGGGGCCTTTGGTAGAAAACCACAAAACAGTACAGAATGGCTTAAGTAACCTGTGGAAAAAGATAAACTCTATTTCAGCTCCACGAACCGCCTTCTTGGTGGCTTGGATGTCGCTTTCCACTCTACTGGGTTCGATCATATTGCGCGCCTGCTATGAGCAAGTATCGCGTGGGACGTGTCACATCGTCGTCTTTGCTCTATGCGTAGGCGCAGGCCTCAACTTCTACAACCTCCTATTGGTTTTCTCATTCTCTATGCCAAAGTTTAACACATCAAGCTCCACCTTGACGAGAAACAGAGAGTCTTCATACTCAGGAATGGTAAAAGGAGCCACGAGTTCATGCTCGGTTAACATGTTTGTCGCTGACACCAGTAGGCGAGTGCAAATGCATAGTTTCTTGCTAGTCAGGCGTCTCCACCAGTTTCATCAGAGCGGTGCCTCGTCAGAAAGGCCGCCCGCAACTATCCGAACTGCGGACGTAGAAACTCTGCTCCTTTGCGGGGTACGCATCCCGGACCTGCTGCCGTCACTGTTCGAGTCTAGAAGCTGCCTCTAGAGCCTAGGGCGTGCGCCTCATCATGATAGGGGACAACCCGGACGCAGACATGGAAGAGGAGTAATCGTCTCCCTCATCCTCGTCGGTAAAGTCAGCTTGCCTCAGCAGACTGTGGATTGCCAGTCTCTGTCTCGCTTTTGCTACCTCTGAAAGTCGCTGTTCTAGATTCCGTCTTCCTTCTTGAAACTCTGGCGACGATAGCCCGCCTATCCCGGCTTCTTGAGGTGCATCGCCCCGGGAAAGTCGCTCCATATCGTCGATGATGGGTTTGACCAGTGCGGAAGAAGGAAAGAAACGCTGAAGCGCAGCCAGACACAAAGCTGCGCGGCTCAAGGCAAACTCTGGTGAGGGACAGCCGGGCGTTCTTTGTGCTCGGGCTATGAAAAGCAAAAGCCTCGTGGCGTGGTAGGCGCAAATAGCCGTGTCGAATTCGAGAAGCAGAAGTTCCGTACTGTGTTGATTGAGGCTGGTCAAGATCTGAATGATGGCGGTGGCGTGTTCGAGACAGTTTTGTTCTGCCGTGGTGATGTAGTCCACGTCTACTGCCTCGAGAACTACGCGAGGTGCTGCTTCGGGATATCCTGAAAGCAAGATTCGGTACAAGTCGCAATGGGCTTGGTGGAATGAAATGTGCATGAATAGCCGTCTCCGCAGCCATCGGTCGCTTTCAAGGGCTCCGATATTGACCATAGAGAAGTTCGTTCCGTCTGGCATCAGCGATCCGATTTCGCTCAGGTCGCTTTCGAAATCGCCAATGAGTTTCGTCAAAGGCAAGAAAGGCTGGTCGCAAAGAGTCACTCCTCTTGTTAACTTCATAATGTCCCTCCGAGTTATCTCCAGTCTCACGTAGAGTCTATAAGAGCCCCCATCACCACAGTCTCCGTCATTGCTGAAATCATTCTCATCCGAGGGGTATTGCAGGTAAATCGTTTCGATGGGACACGCTTCAAACTCGGGCAAGCCAACTGAAAAGTACCTTTCAGTAATCTTCAACGACCACATGATCCTACGGCGTACTTCCTGCGCGACAAAGTCAAGATCAGGTCTCTCGTGGTTCAGTCGCATGGCAGCTGCAAACCTAGCCGCAGTAGCCGTAAGCATGAATGCTCTCTGGAACTTTCCAGTCTCCATCTGATAGTGAATCACGAGCAGTAGGGCCTGCAAACGCGGTATGGTAGGGCTCTCGAGGTGCTGCCATATCTTTTGTTCCGCCGTCTGAACCCACGGCGTAGCTCTGTCGCGAGTCTGAAGATCCGAACCACAGTGAAGGGTCACCAAAGCACAGATGGCGTGTGCCAGGGCCGAGTCAATCCTCCCCTCTCGACAACGCTCCCTGGTCGTCTCAGGGTGCAGAAATGCATGGGATGGAAGAGGGTAAATCTTCGCGAAGAAGCTTTCCACGGCGCCGGAGAGGTATTGGCCGACTTCGACTCCGCAGGACTCGTCTCCTTCGGTAGAGGTACTCTGCGGGGAAGATGCTCTCGCACTTCGCACCGGCGTCGGGTATGTGCACTTTCTAGTATGGCGCGCGCAGTTTGTGCATCGCGGTGATGTTCCGGAGCAGCGGACTTTCTTCTCTCGACAAGCTTTGCACGCCCGGGTGCCTCTGAGGCGTCGCGGCTTGGCGGAGACCAGTTGTTGCTTGCCAAAGTGAGAATCTGGTCCAACTTCCTCGATGGCGGCAAGCGAACAATCCAGCCCAAGACGAGCACACGGGCCGCAACGCAGTTCACTGCCACCTTCGCACTTGACCTGAATCAGGTCAATTCACGGCCACAGACCAACGGTAAGATTCCAGCGGACTGACCTTGCGCCACCGGCATTGAGAACAAGTCTGACGCGTCGTGCTTGGGCCAGCTTGAAAGCAGCCAACGAAAGAGTCCATCATGTCGTTGTTGAAACTTTGGCATCCTGGCACTTCATTGTCGTCCTCGTCTCATGTTGCAGTGCCCTGCCGCAACTCAGCGTTGTTCGGTTCCGAAAGTTTACAATAGAAGTTGGTAATAATTCTATGCCATAGAAGCTGGGGCTGGAGCAAGCATGATATGTCGGAGGAGTCGTTTGAGCAAGCCGGCGGGATGGATTTCGGAGGATGGATGGACGATGGGAAAAGTTTGGATTCCGCCTTCTTACTCGAAGTCTGTTCCCTCGTCCTCGGGACCGGGTTTCTTGAATGATTCTCCGGATCTCTCTCTGCATGAGAGCGCAAACATGAATGCGGAGGGAGTATACACTTTACCTACTCGAGCTAGACTGCCATGACGCGAGGAGTGGATAGGGTAACGACATCCAGGAATGGGCCCTGGTGAGCCAATTACAGTAGTTGACGAGCGGTTTATCCTTGTTCACGTCAACGAACCCTTGCTGGGAGACCGAATCCACCTCTCCACCATGATTCTCCAACATGTCACCGCGAGGTTCTGAGAATTGACTTGAGATTCATGTCATCCGATACGACAACTATTGAAGTCTTGATCGTGTATCTCCAGAGACTATCATTGAAATATGACCGTAATCCGTCATCGTAGTCAAGCACTCATGCTTACAAGAATTTTTGTAGCATATCTTTAGTTCTGCGTCACAATTTACTTGCCAAATCCACTAATCCGCCAGCATCAACACCTTTGGGATGAACCGGCTCATCGCCAATTTGTTCCATCTTCAACTCTAGCAATCTCGTCATATGCTTCACTGTATCGGCGTAAGCTGGATCATGGTAAACATTGAACAGCTCCAATGGATCCTTCTCGCAATCGAACAACTCCCACTCCTTATCCTTCTCCCCGCCCGGCCTGGCGCCACTAATCTCCAACGGCTCGTTGTACCAGTAGATGAGTTTGTATCGCTGATCTCTCACGCCATAATGCGCATAGGCGTGGTGGATAATGTCATTGTGCATCCAGTACCGGTGGTAGGCAATCTGCTGCCAATCTGCCGGTGTGTTCCCCTGCAGTAACTGCCGGAAAGATTCGCCTTGCATGTAGCTTGGGATATGGAGGTTTGCGAAATCGAGGAAGGTAGGCGCGAAATCGACATTGCAAATGATGTCGTCGCACACAGAGCCTTTGGCGATTCCCGCCGGATATCGAATGAGGAAGGGCATCTGGAAAGACTCCTCGTACATGAATCGCTTGTCGAACCAGCCGTGTTCACCAAGGAAAAAACCCTGGTCTGAGGTGTAGATCACAATGGTGTTCTCTGCAAGCCCGTTTTCTTCGAGGTAGTCAAGCATCCGCCCGACGTTGTCGTCGACAGACTGGATGGTTCGCAGGTATCGCTGCATGTACCTCTGGAACTTGAAATGAGCAAGGTCGTCTTGGCTCTTGAAGGTGAACACCGTCCCATCCTCCTTATCGATCAGTCTCTTAGCATCAATGGGAATCTTGCGCTGCGCAGAGCCCGCCTCCTGAACGACACGCTCGCCGACCTTGTTACCACCGTCTGGCTGGACGAGACCCAGATCCTGGTACGTCATATCCTCTGCCACGCGCATTTTTGCAACTTTTGCAGCCTTTGCGCGGTTCTTGTAGTCGTCGTCGTATGTCTCGGGAACGCGTATCGGGTGTTTGTATAGGTCCTTGTGCTTCTCGTTGCACTCCCACGAGCGGTGCGGAGCCTTGTGGTGGCACATGAGGAAGAAGGGCTTGTCGGTGTTTTTTGTCTTGGAGATCCAGTCGAGACACTTATCGGTGATGATGTCTGTAACGTAGCCATCTTCAACCTTTTCTCCCGCTGGCTCAATGAACTCGGGGTCCCAGTAATCGCCCTGTCCGGGGAGAACAGACCAGTAGTCGAAGCCGGTGGGCTCGTGCGGTCTGCCTTCGCCCAAGTGCCACTTGCCGACCATTGCCGTGCTGTATCCGCCGGTACGCATGTGCTTCGCGACGTTTGGCAAGTGCTTGTTGATGTTGTCGTTCAGCGTCATGACGCCGTTGACATGGTTGTGGGTACCCGTGAGAATGGCCGCGCGGGACGGAGTGCAGATGGAGTTGGTGACATAGCAGTGGTTGAACTTCATTCCCTCTGCTGCAAGCCGGTCAATATTTGGAGTGTGGTTGATGCCAGCTCCGTAAGCGCTGATGGCTTTGGAGGCATGGTCATCAGCCATGATGAAGAGGATGTTGGGCCTTGTATTGGTCATTTTCAATGTCTGCAACAGCTGATGAGCAACAAAAGAGGTTTGAAAAGTGAAGGATGCAGGCAAGACTACACTTTCTTGGAGGGTTTTAATGACAGTAAGTGACTGAAAGGAGGGGCATCCGACAAAGCTTGGGATAGCTCCAACCTTGCAGCAAAGCCCCTCCAAAGCTATGCCCCATAATCCTACCCATCGGCAACGAACCTCTTGAGCTTTCTCAAGTGATGTGGAACACGTATTGACGCGAATCGAACATGGCATGTTACCCTGCCGAAGCATCTTCAAAAGGCATCTCTCGGAGAACCAACAGGAACGGAAGACCGGCACCCCTGTATCTCGCCGGAGCTTACCCCACACGTCCTCCCGGAGGCTTCGGTAGTCGGTCCGGCATCCCAAACGGGCAAGTGGAGACACATCCGGCCTTGAGGCCATCCCAGATTGAGCGTTCCGGCCGACTACCGGCATCAACATTCCCAGCGAGGAGAGCAAACACTGGGCCTCTTTCTGTTTGTCCATGGCTGACCCTTGCTCCTGGGAACAGGGGTCGTATGGCGTGCTGGAAGCACTCTGGAAATAGCTCGAGGAGTGGCTCGAGGAGTTTGTCTGTTTGATGCTGCGATAGTCAGCTATTGGGCACTCTAGAATTGCGTGCTGAGCTGGCGACGACGAATTGGTTAGAGCTGTTTTCTCCTATGGTATTTTTCACTCCTGTCTCATTCGGAAGACGCAGAGTCTTGATTTTGCTGTTTAGCATCTAGGATACGCCTCCGTACATAAGACAGCCTGTGGTCGTTTATAAAAACTCGACGACAGGTTGGTGAATCAATCGAGCCTTGATCTTTTACAAATCACCATTGACAATGTCGAAACTAGGGACATTTCGAGCATTCTACCTCGTAGCTTTGTGCTGCGTAGGGTCTTTCTTGTTTGCATACGACACTGGTATCATTGGTGGTATCCTTACCTTTCAAGGTTTCCAAGAAGACTTTCGTTATGGACCGTCCCAGAAAGCCAACGTCGGGTCAAACTCAACAAGTCTGCTACAGGCGGGAGGTCTGCCACTTCTCAAATTTTCTACAGTCAGAGAGCCTCTGCTGATTATGTCTTACCAACAGCCTTCTTCTCCTGCTTCTTCATCTGGCCCTTCACCGCGAAATACGGCCGAAGATGGTCAATCATCCTCGCCTCCATAATATTCTGCGCCGGCGCAATTGTCCAATCAATCAACACTCACTCCCTCGCCGCCTTCTATGTCGCTCGAGTCGTCAGCGGTATTGGCGTAGGCATGGCCACCGTCGTGATCCCCATGTACTCGGCAGAGATGGCCCCCAGGAACATCCGCGGAATGCTCGGCAGCATGTTCCAGTTCTTTTTCACGATGGGTGTCATGACGTCCTACTTTGTAGACTATGGTGTGAGCAAGCATGTTGAGTCTTCAACGAGGCAGTGGCAGATTCCTGTCGGCTTGCAACTCGTTCCTGGGGCGATTCTCGGATTGGGCATGTTGCTTTGCAAAGAGAGTACACGATGGCTGGCCAAGACAGGACGGAGGGAGGAAGCACTGCAGTCTCTGATTTGGGTTCGGGGTGGCGATGCACCCGAGGTCCGAGAAGAGTGAGGTTCCCGGTCCTATGAAGTGTAACATGAATGCTGATGAGACCGCAGGTTTGCCGAAATTATTGCCAGTATCGAAGAAGAGAGAAACCAAAAAGAGGGCCTCACATGGAGAGAGTTGATCCAGCCTGTCAACCGATACCGTATCTTTCTCATCATTGCTCTACAAATCGGTACCCATCCAAAACGCATACAACGTACGCCCCTTTGACTTGGGCTGACATATTTTCTAGGCGTCCAACTCACTGGCAATACCTCTCTGGCTTACTGTAAGACCCAAAATATCATACTCAATTTTCCTAGTTTCTAAACACTGACATTGTCCGCAGACGCCCCGCAAGTGTTCGCAGCCGTTGGTGCAGGCCAGAATAACCTCCTCATCACAGGCTTCTTCGGTCTCGTCAAGGTCGTGTCATGTCTCTTCTATCTTCTTTTCCTCGTCGAACGTATCGGACGCCGCGGTTCGCTGTTGGGTGGAGCATTCCTGATGGGGACCTACATGCTCATCATCGCCTGCCTCACCGCAACCCACCCGCCCAAATCCGTGGACCAGGGTTTGACCTCGACAGCCATTGCCTCAATGACGATGATCTACCTCGAAGCCATGTCGTACAACATCTCATGGGGTCCAGCACCATGGGTAAGTTTGAAACATTCTTACACCTTACAAGATGCCACTAACCGAGATCCAGGTTTACATGGGTGAAATCTTCCCATCTCGAATCCGCGAAGCTGGCATTGCCATCGGCACTTCAACGCAATGGCTCTTCAACTTTGTCTTCTCACAAGCTACGCCACATGCCGTTCAGAACCTCGGGTGGAAGACATTCTTGATGTTTTGCATCTTCAATTGGGCACTCGTCGTATTTGTCTGGTTCTTCATCAAGGAGACTAAGGGGAAGTCTCTCGAAGAGATGGACACACGTAAGTTTCTTGCAAGCTAACGTCTAGCAAAAGGCTAATCTGGCTTCCCAGTATTTTCTGGAACGTCTGTCAGGAACGACTCAGAGAATTTCGTCAAAGAAAATGGTGAAAAGAGGGAGCCCACTTCAGTTCTCGGGAACATCAATGAGAAGCTTCAGTGAAAGCAAGTGTCATATTCGGCATCATTCAAGGGTCACAATACTATCGCAACGAAGAATGTTTGCTGGAACAGGAAGTTGAGTCAACGATGCCAGTATGAATTTCCAAAGCTGCACGCTCCCTTCAGTGTGTGTCTAATGCAATCATAAAACCGTGATGTTCGCTATTACACCCAGTCCCTCTACGACTGACAGAAAGCCCTGCTGATGCCAATATCCAACGATACCGAAAAGCTCCCCAAAACGTCGAGCATGCCATACTCTAATGCGCCATTCAGTCTCCACGTCACTACCACTTCATATTTTCTGCCGCGTATGCTGATTGTTTGTCTTCTTCAACCCCCTCTGTCATCACAGTGACTCCTAGTGGGCTTCTCGATCGTCCATACCGGGGGTATGGCATCGGAGAGCGGTGTCGATGGCGGGCTCGACTATTGTTCAAGGGTTCTCGGAGCATTTTGCGAAGGTTCTTTCGATTCCACTCGTGCGCCTCCTCCCATTCGCAAAACTCTTGCAGCTCGTGATAATGGTGCCAGATGCCCTCCAAAAACTCGACCGAGATGGCGGAAGGTCTTTTCTCCATGCTGGGGCACTCCACTTGCTGTTGATCATCATTGTGTGCCATGGCAGATTCGGATGAGCCCTCGAGTTGTGCCGCTTCAAGCGATCCGTCGTCTTCTTCCCGCTCCAAGCCTCTATCACTCTCAACATTCTCCACGTGTTCGATGTAAACACCTGGGGGAAATTTCTTTCCAGCATCTCCTTGACTCGTTGTCGATAGTGCGTCGCTCATGGGTATATCGGCTTGTGGCTCAAGTGGGTTCCCTGAAGTTGATGTTTCTGGAACTGATATGCCTTCTAGCTTGCCACTTTGAGTTTCTGGTTCGGCTGGCATGTCTGCCATCTCTGTATCGCGCTGCTCGAGGTCTTCGGCATCACCCAGAAATACGTCTGAGCTGCTGCTGGGTTCCGTTCTTGATGTGTTGCGTTTGTTTCGATCGGATCCGAGGTCTGTGGCAGCAAGTAACCATAGCAGAGTGTTGATATCTGAACGCTGGTCCGCCGGGTCATTCTCGTGAGGAGGCTGATAAACGAATGGTATACGTTCCTCGGGTTCTTTCCCTTTTCCGCTTTTCGAACCGTTTTCGGAATCGTGTACAGGTGGATCATCCCAAAACTCCATGTTCTCTTCTGCACCCTCTTCCAGATCCCAGTCGAAATCATATGACACCTCCAGATTGGAGGCAGCAAACTCGGTTATCACTTCAGGGCTGGCCAGTTCCACCGCCCGCTCGAATGCATTTTCGAACATTTCGGCCTGTTTCCGGGCATCCCTGACTCGCATCGCACGCAGCGTTGACGAGAACATGGCTGAGTAGGTAAAAGACTGTACTCGGCGCGTGCATAGATATGCTTGGGGTATTCATCAGTTACTGGGAGGAAATTCGGTGGGAGTCTGGAGACTGGTGTGTGGATGGATGATACGATGTTGAAGAATGGATGTCGTTGTCTGGCGACCACCAAGGAGCGTGGAAATGGAAGTTCGTCTGTTCCACTGGTGGTTTCCCGACACCAGAAACAAACTCTTGAGGAAATTGCGTGATTCAGTCTTTCCCGCGGGATGTTTGGTGGTGATGCTTCTTGCCTAGTGTTTGACTGTTTGTGGGATGACTCCTTCCACCCAAGCAAACCAAGGTGCTCTGCAAAGTTCAAGAGCACCGATGACTGCCTTGCTGCCTTCTTTCTGCACAGGCTTGAAGAATTAAGTTAGAATGAGTCTCATCGCAGCAGGATAAGCTGCTTCATATACTCACTACATGACTCACTTGGCTTATGTAGTGAATCACATTTGAGCTTTCGTCCAAAGCTTAGGAGTGAATGTGTACTAATTTATCTGAACAGAACGGATAGCTGTCTGCCAGCGCTCTTACTGCTTTTTGAACTTCGTCACAGCTTCACTTTCATCGCACCTTTGATGTGATAAGCTGATTAGATGCCAGGTGATTGACATTACATCCGCCCATTCAAGGTGATCAAGCAAACATTTGTGTAAACCTGAGAAAATGGGGCTTGGGATATTCCCATTCTACGTTCTCATTCATCGTAAGCTATGAGCTTTTGAGATGCGAATGAAGGTGATTGAGTCCTCACTTGAGTACGTTCTTTCATTCACCCCTCAACTATCCGCAATATTTTGCACTATATCGCAAGGACCTTGAATTCTAATTGTGAGTAATACTTGTCAGTCTTGACCCAGGCCTCCTATATTTGTATGCCGAGTGAGATTCAAACAGCGACGTTTTGTCAGGCCTTTGAGAACTTTCACAAAGAACCTTCCTTCTTTTGTTCTTTTGTTGTGGGAGCCATAAGATGATTCCCGTCTCACCTCTTTGTGTCACCAAAGAGTGACAATGAAGGCACAGTTATCTCCTGCACTAGCCTTCTCAGCCACGCCCACACACAACATGCGACAGGGCAATAAGCATCATGCCTTTTCACTGCCTGGCCACGGATTCCCCCTCAAGGCCCAGGGGCCATGGCACGGAACTGGTCTTCCAAGAAGTTCCTCATCCTTCCGGCCTCCTCCGTCTCGATACCCTCACCCCGCTGTGATTGATCAAGTCAGAGGACTTTTTAATATTGCCTTTACCTCCTTCCAACTTTTCATTTTCCAGTCAAGGTGCTTTCCTTGAAACTTCTCGCCTCACCAACCGCCTATTCCCACCACATTTTTGTTTCACCCTCGGAAGCTTCAAGTAATTCGTCGGGTCTCTCATCGTCAGTCTTCAATCATTCCACGTCTAGTTCATGGGGAAATGGCCGAATCCATCGAGACGGAGTATCGCTTGATCAAGCATCGCCGTCGTGTCAGCATCATCGCCGCCAAAGCCAGACAATTCGCCCGCGACGGGATCAAGTATCGCGTGTACCACAAGACCACCAACAGCACTCGGGTCAGCACTCGACAGGCGGATGAGATCATCGACATCAGTGGATTGGATCATGTCATCACTGTCGACCATCGCCGGCGCCGCGCAGCTGTCGAGCCCAACGTGACGATGGGAAGCCTTGTCACCGCCACGCTCAAGCACGGTCTCATTCCTGCAGTCGTCCCCGAGTTCCCTGGCATCACCGTGGGTGGCGCCTTTTCCGGCACTGCGCTCGAGAGTTCATCATTCCGCTATGGTCACTTTGAAAAGTCTGTCGCTTCTCTCGAGGTCATCCTTGGAAACGGCAACATCGTCACCGCCTCGCCCGTCGAGAACTCGGACCTCTTTAGTGGTCTCGCTGGCTCTTGTGGTACACTTGGCATATGCACAATCATCGAAGTCAAGCTTGTTCCTGCTCGCCGATTTGTCGAGCTCAACTATCTCCCAGTTCACTCCGCTGCCGAAGCTTTGAACACCATTCAACCCTACACCGCCGACACTTCGCCCGTCGATTTCGTCGAGAGCATCATGTTCGGCCCAAACGATGGCGTCATCATTACTGGCACCATGACGGATGAGAAGAAGCAGGGCATGCCTGTTGTTCGCTTCAGCCGAGCTCATGATCAGTGGTTCGCGCTACATGTGCACGAGTCTGTCCCTCACGTCAGAGATACCAGCTGCATACTCTGCACGCTTTCGGAATCTCGCTCAGTTGACAAGAGAAGCACAATCACTGACCTGGTACCGATCAAGGATTATCTCTTCCGATACGACAGAGCCTCTTTCTGGATGGGAGCCTACGGTCAGAATCCCGACACCTTCAACGGTCTTACACGCCTTCTTCTCAATCCCATCGTGAAGGCTGAGTGCTTGTTCGCTGGTATCCATCACGGCAGACAGAATCGCACAATGTTCTTTCAAGATATTACGCTGCCGGGAAACACCTGTGCGGCCTTCCTCGACTGGCTCGACAACAACCTGGGGATTTATCCTGTCTGGATCTGCCCTGTAAGAGTCATTCCCGACAGTCACAGCCGTCGACGCTACCACAATATCAATATCAATGTACGACTGTGGGGTCCCAAGACCATCCACGGGCCTGATGACATTCCAGGTCGCGACGGCCCCGAGGCCTTTGAGCGATTCATCCGGGACAATAAGATGATTGAGCAGGCTACTCGCGATCTCGGCGGTACCAAGGTGGTCTACGGCGACAACTACTACACGGAAGAGGAATTCTGGCGAATTTACAACAAGGAGTTTTACGATGAGCTCCGCGACAAGTGGGGTGCTGCCGGCCTTCCCAGCCTCTGGGACAAGCTCGGCAACCCGAACCCGACCTACAAGGAACAGACTTCTCGCTCCAAGGCTATCATGAAAGTTCTCCTGAAGCGCGACTATCTCCTCAAGAAGTGACGCAGAGGCGGGCAGAACGCAGAGCAAGATACGAAGCACTAGAGTTGGAGACAGGGGGTGAGGGAGCCTTGGGTGAAGACTGTATTTGAGTATAGGATGAGGCGTTAGGGCCTTCGAAGAAATGCTTTGGTTCGAGGACAGTCGGGAGACGCAATGGTGACATGGGTCGATACGCGAACGGGTGGAAGAGGTGTATTTCGCGAGCATTCGATTCGTTGCTTAGCACAAAGTCGCCCATACGCACAGCAGAGACAGCATTATCAGATCGGTAGTGGATAGGAACAATTCCACATAGTACTTAGCAAATTCCTTCTCTCCCGTGACTGACACCCAGGGTTCCCCACAGAATATCGGGATCGAGGCGTCCCCGAACATCAGACGATGTAGGTGTTTGGATCTGGCGGGGTTTGAACGCACGCAGATCTCCAGATCCCGGAGATCCACAAACGGCGATGGCCCCCCGGCCAGCTGCACGTTGAGAACCGCGCCGCTGCCGGGAAGACGGGAACTAAATTAAGAGCATCCACAAGATCTCGCCTGATCGACCCGGAGGAAAACGGCAGTCGGGATGCTGTTTACGTCAGAGGCAACATGCCATTCTGCAGCGCGGCTTTTGCCCAGCTTTCCCGTGGCACCCGGACGAAGTTCGCATAGCTCGGAATTAGGTCCAAGGGGACTGCTTGATGCGCGTTCTTCCGAGTCTCTACTACCTACCACCTGTGAGGAATGATGTGGGTATCCGCAGTGCTTGAGTCGTGTCACAGCCTGTCCGTCTGGTTACTGTTCGTCAGCTCGGAACTTCTCGAACATCAGTCACGCCACAAAAGTGTTGGCGGCCTATGGAAAATGAAATGCGGACTAGAAACTTGCGCAACTCAGACCCGAATGCCCGGATAGTATCAATAGGCAGCACCACATACGGCGTTTGTAAATCAAGCGAGCAAGTGGCATCAACCTGTGTTGAAGAACTCAGAAATGCAAGTTGTCAAATGTAGTCTGCAATATGGTTCGCAAAGCCCGACGGCGACGAATTAGTCAATCCATTTCAATAAAGTCAGTCTTGAGAGGAAGAAGAAATCATAAAAAGGCTTCAGCATCGCGGCTTGGTTCATCTCTTTTTCCTTCCAGATCATCACACTCACACAAGTTCATCAATCATCAAGACTTCTAGTCTCATACAACCATCAACTCAACTGCCTTCGAATCTTTTCGATACCAACATCCGCCAACATGCCTATCACCAAGTACAAGGCCGCCGCCGTCACCTCCGAGCCCGGTGTAAGCCTCGATGCCATCTTCCTCCCTTTCCACTTATACTTATAACTGACTTTCCTAGTGGTTCGACCTTGAGGGTGGTGTTCAGAAGACCATCAACTTCATCAACGAGGCTGGCCAGGCTGGCTGCAAGCTCGTTGCCTTCCCCGAAGTTTGTAAGTGACCCCTCCTCGCCTCAAACTTCTTCACCATGCTGATACCCCCACAGGGATCCCCGGTTACCCATACTGGATGTGGAAGGTCACCTACCTTCAGTCCCTCCCCATGCTCAAGAAGTACCGCGAGAACTCCCTCCGCGTCGACTCTGAGGAGATGCGCCGCATCCGCCGCGCCGCTCGCGATAACCAGATCTTCGTCTCCATGGGCTTCGCCGAGCTTGACCATGCCACCCTCTACCTCGCCCAGGTCTTCATCGACCCCACCGGCGCCATCATCAACCACCGCCGCAAGATCAAGCCCACCCACGTTGAGAAGCTCGTCTACGGTGATGGCTCCGGCGACACCTTCATGTCCGTCTCCGAGACCGAGATCGGCCGCGTCGGCCAGCTCAACTGCTGGGAGAACATGAACCCCTTCCTCAAGTCCCTCAACGTCTCCCAGGGCGAGCAGGTTCACGTCGCCGGATGGCCCATTTACCCCGGCGTCCAGCGCCAGGTGTCCCCTGACCCGGCTACCAACTACGCCGACACCGCCTCCGAGCTCGTCACCCCGGCCTATGCCATCGAGACCGGCACCTGGGTCCTCGCTCCCTTCCAGCGCCTCTCCGTCGAGGGTCTCAAGAAGAACACCCCCGAGGGCGTCGAGCCCGAGACCGACCCCTCCGACTACAACGGCCACGCCCGCATCTACAAGCCCGACGGCAGCCTGGCTGTCCCTAAGCCCGACAAGGACTTTGACGGTCTCATGTTCGTCGACATTGACCTCAACGAGACCCACCTCACCAAGGTCCTCGCCGATTTCGCCGGCCACTACATGCGCCCCGATCTCATCCGCCTCCTGGTCGACACCCGCCGCAAGGAGCTCGTCACCGAGGCCGACCCCCAGGGCGGCATCGCTTCCTACAGCACTTACCACCGCCTCGGCCTGGACCGCCCCCTGGACTCCAAGCCTGAGCTGCACGAGCGCGACGAGCAGGAGACTGCCAAGCGCATCTCCAAGGAGCCTGCCGCTAAGCCTGTCAAGAAGCTCTAAATGCTCTAGCTGGCTTTCAGCAGCAATCCGGGACTCTGAACATCAGTGCCCGCCTGTAAAAATCCCATTTGTAATATGAAGAATGATTAGACTGTACATAGAAAATCTCATCTCGGGTCTTTTGGCCTTTTGAAACAAAGTCTACCACTGGTGCCTATTCTAGTTGCGCGTCCCTAAACGTGTCATAAACTCTACATTCTATCTGATGAAGATGTATTCTTAGTTCGCTCTACCCTGCCTTTGCTTTCACTCTAGATCTCACACACTCTCTCCATTGAAGCGAGCAAGTTTCCCGGCCCCACGTTACGTCTTGGAGATGATCGGTCCACCTTAGGCGGCGCGGGGTTTGAAACTGAGGGGCAAACTTTTTGTCTCCGTTGCATTCTGCTGCCATTCTATGGCGCCAAAATATCCGTGCTCCAGCGCTTTTGACTAAGAAGACGGAAACATCTCGTAAAGTTTCCGAATTCAGGTTGTATTAAAGCATCAAAAGCATCACAGTGATACCATTGCGAGTATTGACGTCTCTGCTACCAATCGAACCGCCTCACATGATCACAATGTTGGCAAAGATCGTTCTACCATGGTTCTTCATGACCATCTCCTTGATCTACCTATGGTTCACCATCTTCAAGCTCGCCATTACCGGTGACGTCAAGACCCTGTCGAATTGGTCCGCACTCAAAGAGGCCTGGTTCGGCGAGTTCTGGAAATTCATGGGCCCTAAAGCCAAAGCCAGCGCAGAGGACAAAGTCCTGCCGCTCCTTGAGGGTCGAATTCGGAACGGGCAGGTCTCCGAAAGAGGCGCCAGCAAGCCTATCGAAGGTGTTGTCCTCGAAATCGGAGCCGGCAGTGGGATGTGGACCGAGTCGCTCGCCACCGTCGTCCGGTCCGCCAAGGCCGAGTCCCGTGCAGCTCCGACCAAGATCTATGGCGTCGAGCCGAACCCGGTGTCTGCTGCATCGCTGAAACGACGTGTCGAAGAGGTCGGCTTAAAAGGAACCTACCAGGTTGTGCCGGTAGGCATTGAGGATTTGCAAAATGAGTCGGCTTGGGGCGGACGGATCGAGCCCGGTAGCGTCGACTGCATCATGACTGTCCAGTGCCTCTGCAGCATTCCGGAGCCGGAGAAGAACATACGGCTGCTTTACAACTACTTGAAGAAGGGCGGCCGATGGTACGTCTTTGAGCATGTCAAGGCGGAGCAAGGGCTACTCATCCCACTTTTTCAACGTGAGAACCCTTTTCTATACCTTCGAGCATGCATCACACTAACATTCCTACCCAGAATTCACAAATATCTTTTGGGAGCACATGATGGGTTCTTGTCAATTGTGCCGAGCCACTGGGCAGACATTGCGGCAAGTTGGCTCCTGGAGCGAGGTGGACTTGGCCCAACCGCCGGATGAGTCAAGCAGCGACGTGATTCCTCATGTTGTGGGAGTTCTCACCAAATAGTCGGTCACTCAAAGTTTTAAAAGCACGGCTTGAGATGGAAGGTTTGGAAAAGATGAACAATAGCCTTGTCAATTACAACACTACGTGACACTCTTGCATACTTAGCCTGCGTACTTGATCGTGCATGCAACGATATAGTTCTTGGAGTATTGCCTAGGATCTCATGCTTCTATCAGAAAGCCCGTACTATTTATAGCATCTTCAGGCAGTCCGAAGGATGCAGTGGCCTTACTCGGCTTCTGGTAGCCCAGCAAGCTTGAGGCCCAATGACCACAGCCTCTCAGCTTTCTCCTGGTCGTACGCCCACATAGCGTATCCTGAGCCAACATCACCAGTTGCGGGATCCCATGCGCCAATAATTTGGCAGTCCTCAAGATACTTACCACCCCGGCCCTCCAAGTCCTTGCTAACCGCCGCCCACACAGTAGTCGCGGCTCCCTGCTCAGCGCTCTTCCAATGCTTGGCGAGGGCCTCATTCCTCCCCCATGCCTCCTTCAGTTCGTCAGGGACATGTTGCTGAAGGCCGCTCAAGATGCCCCCTGGGTGGAGACTGAAGGCATGGAGGTTTTGAGATCCATATCGGCGTTCCACCTCGTTGGCCATCCATACAAGAGCAGTCTTGCTCTGGCCATAAGCCTTCCAGGGGTCGTAGTTTCCAGTCCAATTAAAATTGTCAAATTGGACCTCGCAGGCTCTATGCAAGCTTGAAGAGACGTTGACTAGCCGCGAAGGGAATTCTGGGGTCGAGGAAGCAACAAGAATAGGTTTGAGGAGTTGAAAGAAGAGGAAGTGGGCGACATAGTTGGTGCCAAACTGGGTCTCGAACCCATCGGAAGTCTTGCCCTCAGGTGTCGCCATAACACCCGCATTGTTGATGAGGATGTTCAAGATCTTGCTCTTTGTCGCGAAGTCTGCGGCGCAGGCCCTGACGCTCGTGAGATCATTCAGGTCAAGCGTCAAGAGATGGACTCGGTCTTTCTGGGACATGTCGCCCAAGGCAGCTTTCGCCTTGTCAGGATTGCGAACCGCCAAGTACAAGGTTGCACCTGTTACCAACAGCGCACTCGCCGTCTCAACTCCCAGGCCGGAGGAACAGCCAGTGATGAGGACGACCTTGTCAGAGAGCTTGTCTTCAAGGCCCTCGTCTTTGATGATTTGAAGGGCTGTAGGACGAGCATCCCCAGGACCTTGAGGAGAAAGATGGAAAGAGGCATATTTTGAAGACATGACGTAAAAACAGGAGACTGACCAGCCGCTTGTTGGGGATTTCAAGTGTATAGAGATGGAAAGTGTAATTAGGTGTGGCATGCTTTCAACACCCACCAGGTTATGTCAAATCGACCGACCTGACCCTTTATACTCGATTCTCAGACATACAAAAAGCCATCAGCGCGCAGGCAACATGACCTCTCTCGGAATTAATGTTCGTAAGTCCAGAAGTGTCCTATTCATCCGCCGTCGATTTGGCTAAGCATGCATCTCATTACCATATCCCCGCGTCGCCGCATTGCGCCTTCCTCACTCGCTAGTCAACGTGCGGCATGCGGCCGCATTGCCCGCGTTGGAATACCCAGCCGGGAACTCCAGACTCTCACCCCATTCACTTCATAAGTGGTCTCTTGTTAAATACTTCAGGTAGAATTTGCTTTCAATTATACTGTGTCCTTTTCAATCGAAAGCTTGGTTTCAAACTTCCTTGCTACCTACTAGAGGCTCTGGGCCTGTGGCAAACTCACTCATCGCAGGCGGCCGCGTCGGCCGCATTATCGGTCCCCAGCCGGTGTCGGAACAAGATGACAAGAACAGGTTGCTTGGATCATTACCACGCATGAAACTGCTATACATGCTCCTGCCGATCAAACATTCTATTCGAACCGATACTTACTTGTCTTATTCTTCTGTCGATTTACAATATGCAAAAAATGGTAGGCCTCAATACGTCCGTCTGACGAAAAACTTTGGCTTCCCTGACCCCTTTCTTGTCCGGAAACCATAGTGGGGCTCTGCTTGACAAGGAGGCCTGGAATAAAGCGTACGTGATAGCGCAGGACTTCATACGTCAGAATCTTGCTGTGCAGATACCTCTAGATAGATCACCTCGTCGCAACATCATGTTCTTCGGGTTTGGGGTTTTCTAATATTACTTGAAGTTCAAATTCTAGACTATCACACATTGCCCATGTGGATCAACAAATTTCGAACAAAGAAGGAATCCTAATCATTCCTATGCTAGATACTACAATTTTGATGCCATCTCCCCCGATACCCTAGCACTAGGGTGCTACTGCTTGACGGAGGCAAAAGATTTAATGGTGTCAACAACACAATGTTCAAAATCCGCGTACTTCATGCCCAGAATCTCGACGCTGCGTGTGGTGTTCGTTTGGTAAACCTCCTTGGGCAATTCTAGACAGCAGTCAGTGTTAAAATATATCGAGTAAGTCATCATCAAAGCGTCTACGTACCGCCGCCCTTGGTGCATTTGGAAGGCAAAGCTGACTTGTATTCCGGGAAGTGCTTCCGGATGATATCGATGGTCTCACGGTTTGAGCAGTAGCCGTTCGTGATGAAGAAACGTTTGTTGCCGGCTTCTTCCTTCTCCATGGCCGCTACATGGGCAAATGCCACATCTCGGACATCGGCGAAGATGGGGTTCTGTGATGGACACTTGAGTCAGCCGAAGTGCGCCGAGATAATCGGATTTACGGCAGGGAAGATTGGCTGACCTGAGTGGGAGGGATCTCCTTCTTCGCCGACCCAAGAATGAAGCTGCGGATAAATTGGTTTGAGGTGTTGAGGGCATCAAGGGAAGCCAGGCTCTGCACAGCAGGACCAAAGACGAGGGGTGGTAGGATTGTGGAAATGGAAAACGCAGGAGACTCGGCTTCGAGGAAGTCCCAAGCTGCCTTTTCAGCAAACTTCTTGCTTGCTGTTTACTTGTCAGTTACGTAGCAATTACCAAGTGCCGCATTCAGCGCGATCTCGAGACAGTAGGGGTCAACTTACCAGAGTAACCAGCGCCAGCGCTCTGCAACGCCTGTTCCATCGTGATGGGGTTCCAGTCACTCTCGTCATAAGTGTGACCGGGCCATAGCCCCTTGGAAATGTCCATCATGGAACCGAACGATGACGTGATGACCACGCGCTTAACCGACGGAGCATGTTGCTTGATAGCTTGCAGGATACCGGTTGTTCCGTTGATAGCGGGATCAAGGAGGTCCGCCTTGATGTCAGTCACGTTGAAGTGAAAGGGACTTGCAGTATGAATGACCGCTTCAAATGGTGGGTCAGATTTGACGGCATCGGAGAATGCATCGTTCTGTGCCACATCGGGGACAATGGCGAAAGCCAGCTTGTCGGCTCCAATATCAGGATATGACTGCTTGATCGCGTCTGCTTTGGCCTGGCTGCGGACACTTGTGACCACAGAGTGTCTACATGAATGATTTAAGCTGAGAACCATCACATAACCTTCATCTGAGGATTGGAATGTTTCTTACCCGCGTTCAAGAAGAAGCTTGAGGATGTGTGTAGCAATGAAGCCACTGCCTCCGGTAAGAAGAACTCTGGTCATTTTTGGGAAGGCTGGATATGTGAAATTGCTAAGGAGATGGTTTAATGTCGATAGAATTGCGACAACGTGGGTTGTAATGGTGTATATCTTGCCAGTGATACAGGCAATCTTTACTATGGAATAACTGATCGTTAAATACGGGAGATTAGAAAGCACGTGTAAGCCGACTCTATTTGCATGTATTCGTATCATTCACGGACTTAACATCATTACGTCAGTCATTTAGACGGAGAGTACGGACATAGGAATCAGTATGTCTGGCAGTGTCGCTGACACGGCCGTGCTTCCTGCCCACTAAGAAAGTATCCGCTAGCCTTATGGACCCGGGAATGGTAAAGGAACAGCTTTCACTCCACAATGACTCTCCGTGTGCCTGGCTGTAGGTCCTAAATGGCCCTACTCGGCAGTTAAACCGGCATAGCGTTCCCGAATCCGAGCTGACGGATCCGGCCCCAGGCTCAGATATTAGTATTACAGGCTACTACAGACAGCCACGTATACGCGTATTTGTCCAATCAAAATCCCAGCCATACACATCATCGTCTATCCGATTACCTTTATGGTGGTTGAGGATAAACCTTCGAGAAAGAGAAAGAAGCACAAGAGGAAAGAAGAGCGGCTTGTTTCCGCACTCTCGTCTGCTCAATCAAGAAACCGGGCCGCAACTTGACTCAAGCACCCTTGCCCTTGACTTAGAGTCCTGCTTGTTGTTTTTCTAATCTAACGTACAGCAATGACAGACGTCAGCTAGTTGCATCGCGGCTTGACTTTCGTCCGTACAGACCTGGTGCTCAGTGGAGTGAGCTGCCAGGCGCAGTGGAAGCAATTCAGGCTATCTTCTCCAGTAGAGCGAAGGGAGGTAGGCAACAAGGTAGTAGAAATATGACGGCGAAACCGCATTCGTCTCTCGAATTGACTCCTTAGCACTCACTCTTCATCCATTCGTTATCATTCGAAAATTGGCAAAGCTTCACTCTCTCAGTGATGCAATCTCTCGTCGCAGGTGCTATTACGCTCGCCTGCACCGCAATCGTCTCAGCGGCATGCATCGAAACAGGCAATACTTCAACTAGTCTACCAATTGTAGACTTGGGCTATGAGCTTCATCAAGCTCTCAACTTCGATGTAAGTGGCAGCTGATGTCTGAGGGTTGATTGTTCCAAAGAGGACGCTCAACTTCACGATGCTCAAAACTCACCAATCACAGACCTCGAGTGAAGCATACAACTTCTCCAACATTCGATATGGAGCCCCACCTATTGGAGATCTTCGCTTCGCTGCCCCGGTACCTCCTGCAACGGACAGATCTGTTGTACAGAAGGGTGAAGAGGCCCGAATCTGCCCACAGGCCCTCCCGGAATGGACGCCGAGCCTGATCGAACAAGCATACCAATACCTTTTCGGTCCCAATATCTCGATATCTGCTAATCAGCTCCTCGACTCGAGAGCTAGCGAAGACTGTCTGTTTCTTGACGTGGTGGCCCCGAAGAAGATCTTCGATGCTGCCAGGTCCAATGGGACTGCTACTAAAGCACCCGTGAGTAGACGCTCTTTGGATTCATAGTCTATTCTCATCGTCAAAGAAGCCCAAGCTAACACGGAGGAATCAAACAGGTCCTCGTATGGATCTACGGCGGTGGCTATGACACCGGCTCCAAGGCTGGACTAAACAGCGGTTCGCCTGCTGGCCTTTTGAGACAAGGCAACCACGATTTTGTCTACGTTGCTCTCAACTACCGCCTTGGTGCTTTCGGATTCCTTAGCGGTCCGAAATTCACAACCCAGGGAGGCGTTGCCAATGCTGGACTCCTCGACCAGAGACTTGCGCTGGAGTGGATTCAACAGAACATTCACCTTTTCGGCGGAGACCCAGCCCGCGTGACTCTTGCAGGAGAGTCCGCTGGAGGAGGTTCACTCGTATATCAGACAACTGTGAGTCGAGGAATAGTATCCTATGCAAGTGAAAGCTTCTAACAAAGGGATCTTCCAGGCTTTCGGCGGCTCTCAAGGCTCAGTTCCCTTTCAACAGATCATCCCGCAGTCCCCAGCGATCCTCCCATCTCCGCCAGCCCAGAACCAGGACGACATCTTTGCCGAATTCCTATCGCGTCTAAATGTCAGCACCCTTGCCGAAGCTAGGCAACTACCATCCGCCTCTGTGATTGCAGCCAATAGCGATCAGATCTTTGCCGGCCGCCTAGGTAGCTTCACCTTCAGCCCGGTAGTTGACGGCACCTTTGTTCCGGCCGAGCCTGCAGTCTTGATCTTGGAGGGGAAGTTCGATACCAAAGTCAAAGTGATGGCTGGCTCAAACACCAACGATGGTCTCTTCTTCGGTTCCTTCGACATCACAGACGACGCTGGCTACCGCGACTGGATGTCCCTCACCCTTCCCGGTGCCAGCGCCGACTCGATCGATTACATGGCAACGGAGTTATACCCGCCCATCCTCAACGGCTCCTATGGATACACGGACCACATCGCTCGTACTGCTCTCACCATGCAGGACTTACTTTTCCGGTGCAATGGTCTTGCTCTCGCGAGGGCATTGAACGGCACGACTCATCAGTACGAGTTTGGCGTCTACCCCGCCATGCACGCTGCGGATGTTGAATACACCTTTTCCGATAACGGGGTCGGTATGCCTAGTCCAGAGACTGCGATTGCCTTGCAGCGATACATGACCAGTTTCACTCTTAGCGGAAGTCCCATGGAAAGGGAGTGACGGACTTCCCGATGTACGGACAGGACAAAAACGTCTTGCTCTTAAACGCCACTGGTCAGTATGTCAGCCGGTATGACAGCTTCACAACCGACCGTTGCATCGGGCGGGACAGAGTTATTGCATCTCTTTCAGCTTGAACAAACCGTAGCTCTCATACATAACCCATCAATCAGTGTGGTCAGAGTTGAGGCCATCTCAAAGGGCGTCATGTAAGATCCGGACTAGAACTAGCGATGTATCTCTACACGTTCTTCCCGAACAAGGATTAGGTAGTAAACGTCCCTGCAAATCATAACTTTTTACTCATAGCTGCCTTCTCCGCACATTAAGGTAAGTTCCTGATACTCATGCTCTCGGCCGTTCTTCGTCATAAGTCATGTGAAACGCCGTCGTCTTCCTGATAGCCCGCCGATCCTCCACCTCCTCGCTCGGAGTCCTCACACGCCTTTCGTCGGCGGCTGTAGGTAAGATGTACTCCTCGCTCGTATCGTCCCCAACTTTTGGTCTAGCATGTACACTCGTCAGATGAATCCCGTTCTTTTCTTCACGGCCCTGATACGGGTGCCAGTCGTTGCGACTCGTACCGGCGTGGATGAAGTTGCTGTTGTTCGTTCGCGGTGCGGAGCCTGTGTTGTAGCTGCCGGCAGACGAGCCTTTCTTGGTTGCGAAGTATGTCGGGAAGAGATAGGTCAAGGGTAGACGGCACATTGGCAGGCAGGCGCAGATGATGGCGACGTTATCTTCGACGACTGTCCAAAGCGTGGAGGCAATGTCGACTGTGTCAATATGTAAGCATATGTTTGAAGTCATACGGAGTCTTTTTGTTACTTACAAGTGGTGTCCGGGCTTGTGGTGGAAAAGTTCAGCGTCGTCATACGTAAGATGCTCGTGATCGTGACGAAAAGGCCCAGAGCAAAGACGATCATGAGCAGCCTCTTCTGGTTGAGAGGGAGTTTCGACTGCCACAGGACGTGCTGCGGCAGTGCCATGATGAGGATATCGGTAGCGATAGAGAATCCTGCATTCGCATACCAGTTCATAGTAAGCGAGATACAAGTGCCCGGAATAGTCTTGTCCCAAGCCCTCGGAATAGGGGTACACTGCCATATCGAAGAGGCCGAGGTCGCTACCATGTAGGCCAGGATGATGCTGAGTAGCGTGTAGCAAAGGATCCGAAAGTAGCGTTGGACGAATATGCGAAGATAGAGGAGTAAGATCGATGCCTTTGTGAGGTTTATGGTGATCTTGTAGAAGATCTGGGCAACGTAGAACAACTATCAACAGTCAGACTGATGTTACATGATACCTCACTTCAACCAAGCGGCATGAGGTGTTCCTGGCTACATACCTGCAAAGTCATGACCTTATTAGGTTTAGACAGGTTTCTAATGTGCTGGCCGAACCCATACTCGCAGGAGATCATCATCAATATCGATACAGTCAGGCAGCAGATCTTGGGAGCGTCAGCAAGACAAAATAGTACCGAGTTTCTTGTAGAGTAGACTCACGAACGAGAATAGGATGGTCCAGTCGTCCCAACCAAGGCCGGATCTCATCTTGATCCTCGACCAAAACCGGATGCCCACGAAGATGGGCGTGAGTACGAAGAAGACGATGGCCGGCACCTGCACCATGAGCGCATTGCTCTCGCCGTGAATGTTCCCCTCCACCATGGCGAGTATGCAGTGTTTGATGTTGAAGCCGTAGGAGATCAAGCTGGTCTGATGAGGTTGTGGGCCCCGAGAGGCCAACGGTCTGTGGGCAAGACACTAGGATGTTGGAGGATGGTAGACGCAGATCGAGGGAGATTCCAATAAGCTGGGACGACTGGGTCCCCACGAACGGTTATATGTTCATTCCCAGACCTCTCTTGTGCAGAGTTTGTGGCTTTAGACTAGGGAGAGCCCGTCCGTCCAAGTCCGAAGGGTTCGGTAGCCTTTCCGCGGTAGAAAAATGGAAGGCGGAGATTTCATTGGGCGGCATAAAAGTATGGGAACGGGAAGAGACAACGGCCCCCCGCGTATGTCTGCCGCCAGGCACAAGTCTGCAACTCTGTTTCTTGCCCGCCCTTGCATCGAAACCGAGAAGGAGGGTGGCGTGGAACGGGCGTGACAGTCTGCAGACTACTGCAGTACTCGAAGGAGTAGTCAACCGTTGGCCACTATGCGTCTCCGTTTCCAAGAAAGGAGGGTGGATAGCCAACCAAGAGGTTCACCGAGGGACGAACGCGATTTTGGGGGCCAGGTGGAGGAAGTTCAGGGTTGCGGGTACATGGAGACAGAAAACGGCCGGTAGGCTAGATTACCGATCGCGAGATGACCAAGAGAAAACGAAATCTATATCCTTGCAGTTGTCCGCAGGTCAAGGGACAAGGAAAGTGATCACCAAAGGGTGGATGAATGGGTCGCTGCATCCGCCATCCTTTGTGGTCGTCGCCAGGATCAAATTCTGGACCGTCCTCAATGTCTTCCACACAAAACGTTCGACTCTGGAGCAGTGTTGGTTTCGGTAGAATGAACAGGCAATTGCTGAGGAACACGTTTGTGGTTCTCAGATCAATGGCGAGTGAAAGTTTGCTAATGTTTTGATCTGGCTCTATGCCCTGGACTTACGTATGCCATACCAACCAGGCGGAAGCTTGAAGGGATTGACCATTGATGGTCCTCGACAAAAAGGCCTGCATGAAAGTGAACAGCCTCGAGAGCCCAAAAGAGATGTCCGACGAACATATACCTAACCGGGATCATCCAGGCACCCTCATCTTTGTCACACTTTTACCTTTACATCTTTGCACATTGAGGAAGAGGTCTAGACATGGGCATCGGACAGCAATACCAGTTGGGTTAGGCTCTACCGTACTTGAAGGACAGACAGTGTGCTCACAGCCCGGGTGTTGTTGACGATTGCTGGGAAATGAGGTGCAGGTGATTCTGCGCCAGTGATCCTAACGGAGTACAGGGTTTCACATGTCGAAGGAATCGGTTCCGTTGCTTTCTTTTTTCTCGTTGAACTCTTCAACATCCACCAGATCCATGGTCGGACGTTCTGTCAGATGAGGAGACGGGGCGTGGAGGGTTTATGGGGTTCTGTAGCGGATTCCGGTGGTCCTCTTCGCACAAGCTGAATGGCTTTTCCCCTTGTTGGTCCGACAAAATCAGCTCACTCATCAGAGGCTTTTCGTGCTAACAATCTTTGTTGGAGCTCGTCATGAGGCTACGCCACTATTGACTTGTACCACGTATAAGAAACGCCGCAGTCCGGCTGTTGGCGTCGACTAGATCCTTCGATAGGCACTTCGGAATGTTACTTGCCATTGAGTTCTCGTTGTGGCTTGCAGTTCATCTTGGGTAAACTGAAGTTGCATGCGACCATCACACAGGTTCGTTTAAAGTTCCCTGCCCATCCGTAGCATCCGGAGGCCCGTCTGTGCGCCCTGGGGCCCGTCGTTCTTTGGGCCCTAATGTCACCACACCACTACATTATCGTCCGCCTTGTGGTCCCTTTGCGAGGACTTGAGGGGGGCTTTGTGGGCTTGGGGGCTGTTGGCGCCAACGTCCCGTTCTGGTTCCCGCTCCCGCCAACTCAGTTTGGTGGGATGTCCGTCTGTTCTCGTTGCAACCACCCGGCCGCGATTGAGATCTGACATCCGATGCTACTCGAGGTCAGTGATGGTGACGAAGTGTCCGACATCCAGTGCACCTAAGGTGAGGTGGTATCCTGGCTGAACTTGGCGAACAGATAACCCGTCCAAACGGAAGAGGCAGCCATTACTTTGGTCACCAAGATACCCTCATGATGCAGTTACTCCATAGAGCTCTCGGTCAACGGCGCTGAGCTTCCTTTCTGGGCAGCGATGTTCGCTGTGTGGTGGTGTGTGGTGTGTGCGGATTTCCTCCAGGAACCGCACTTGGCATTACCCAAGTTCTGTGGTTCTCCCAGGTGCGTTTCGATGAAGATATGCAGGCCTCAGGGCAAAGAATCCTCCTTCGCTAGGCCTTCCCGATTGAGGCATCATGATGAGGTGGACAAATATTGTAAGTGGTCGAAGGATTGTGATCCCACGCACCCAAGTCTACTTGTCAAATTGTCCAATGGATAACCATGGGTGCCATGGCATCCCGGCAGCAGAATGGTACTGTTCCTGAAAGCTGGCGAGCTACGCTCCGTGTACCATCGGCCGAGACACCCTCCTGAGGGATTTTCCCCTCCCCCTCTCCCTCTGTGTTCTTCTGTCGGATACTGGCGCCCGCCGCGGATAGCCGGGATGAAGCACTACAAATGCAGGCATCCCTGTCATTAGCAACAGCTTAAGATGAAGTTGCTGCGGTCTAAGTCGGAAGAGGCTGGTGTTCTTTCACCTGAACATGGCGGAGATCTCGAAGAGAAATTCGCAAATACGTAACGACGGGCGGTTCAGTAGACCGACAGAATACGAGCTACGAGCCACAACCCAACTGTTTTAGCAAAGCTTCATCTTATTGACGTTCGACCGACAGTTCATGGCACCGACCAACCAAGATCTCAGCCGGTCTGCGACGAAGGACGGGGATGTATGACCGGACGAATGAAATAAACCCCATCTACATTACGGGAACATTCGTCTGTGAGATTGATCCATGTACAGCAATTGTGACGAAGGCTGGCATTAATGGCAACTAAAGAATTGTGCAACGCCGATCTTATCTGTCACCGAATCTTCACTCGCCTCAGCTGCGCATCGCAGGTCGATAAGAACAGACACCGCGCCTCTTCAGATATATCAAAGCCTAAGGAGTGAGGACGCCTTTGAGACCTAGAACATGGGTCAGCAGAACTGCGCACCACCGCACCTCACAAGGATGCTTCTGTATGAGATACCCTCCCCTCCCATACTCGTGTTGGTGACGACCAGGGCCCTGCAAAAGTCCTTCGATCTCGTTATTCCCGGCTGAAATCCTGCCGGTTCTGTCATGATCTCAGCATGCTTCCCCAGGCAAGACATCGCTAGAACTACGCGAACGACGTCAGATCCTACCTGACCTGAGCCATCCATCGATGTTACCAGTCCATTCGCCATGTTTACTATCGTAACTCACAGATCGGCGGCCAAGTCTACGGCGACCACATGGCACACACCAATAGCGATAGAAATCATTGACGTATCGAATTTCATTCAGTCCAACCAAGACACAAGATCAAAACAAACCCGCCTGCGCCACCGACCCGGGCCGTATCCTCAGCGGCCGGCTTGAACGGCGCAGCACCCGACATGAAGAAATAGCGCCAACCCACCTCACCGTCCGGGGCATACTCGCCAGCGGAGCCGAAGCTGTCAGGCCCACTGGACAGCGGAGATTAGAGTGTCGAAGCCATCGAATATGGATCTCGCCTTACGCAGTTGTGCGGCCCAAAGAGGCACGGCGTCATGACCGGCTTCGGTCTTCCTCCATCCCTACCTCTTACCCTCCCTCACTCACTTCTCCATCTTTTCTGTGCATATTGCAGCTATTCCATGCCTTGCATGCCCACCATGTGCTCCAACACACGTGTTGGTTCCCGGCAGCTTGTCCGAGCTACCATCGCAATATAAACAGACGGCGCCCATCCTGGGTTACAAGTCGCGAGATGATCTTCCGCTCGCACGCACCAGCTATTGGCACTTCGCTCAGGTCAACGGGTATCTCTGGTAAAGTTGAAGTCGAGTTGTCATCGCTGCTAAGTAAGTAAGGTTCACTTTGCGTCAATCCCTCAATTGAAGCCAGTCCGATTCTATGCGGTCTTGTAGAGTTTTGTTACGGTCGCAATCCATAATGAAGTTGTTCGAAACTTCATGATGAACAGGAGTCTGTTTGTCCGTTCATCTGTTTGTTCGTTTATTTGATTGTCTGGTTGTCGCAGTGGTAACCTGGCTGTTACACACCTCCGTCGGCTATCCACATTGTCAATGGCACGATGAGAGTTCTCATGCGGCACTTCATCCAGTATCCACGTAGCTAACCTTACTTTACCAAGATTCGTCAGAATGAAGGTCTTCTCCATCGTCACCGCCCTCGCCGCGGCGGGCGTCGCCTTCGTGTCCGCTCAGGGCACAATCGACGACAACTCCGACTCCTTCCCCGAAGACCTCAACGGCTCCAACTTCACCTACCCATGGCCCGTCAAGTTGTACAAGTTCACCTCCCAGCTGCAGGAGCTGGAGATGGCCTTCATGGACATCAAGCCGAAGTGCGCTCCCAATGGAAAGACTGCCGTCCTCTTCCATGGCAAGAACTTTTGCGGCCCGACGTGGGAGACCACCATCCGCGTCCTCGCTCAGTCCGGCTACCGCGTCATTGCCCCGGATCAGATCGGCTTCTGCAAGTCGTCCAAGCCTGAGCGCTACCAGTTCTCTCTGCAGCAGTTCGCGACCAACACCAATGGCCTCTTGAAGACCCTTGGCATCGAGAGCGCTACAGTCATGGGCCACTCCCTCGGCGGTATGCTCACCACCCGTTACGGCCTGATGTTCCCCGACGAGGTCGATGAGATGGTCCTCGTCAACCCCGTCGGCCTCGAAGATTACAAGGCGCTCGGCGTCCCCTACCTGCCCATCGACGACAACTATGTAACGGAGCGCGCCAGCTCCTATGCTTCTATCAAGGGGTACGAGCAGGCGACCTACTACGTCGGAGAGTGGAAGGACGAGTACGACACCTGGGTCAACATGCTAGTCAACATCTACAAGGGTTCCAAGGCCGACACCTATGCGCTCAACCAGGCCCAGATCGTCGACCTTGTCCTCACGCAGCCCGTCAGCTATGAGTTCTCTCTCGTCAAGCCCCGCACTCTGCTCATGATCGGCGAGAAGGACAACACCGCCATCGGCAAGCAGTGGTCTCCTCCCGATGTCGCCGCTAAGCTGGGTAACTTTGCTGCCCTCGGTCCTGCTGTTGCTGCCCAGATCCCCAACGCGACTCTTCACACCTTCCCAACGCTTGGTCATGCGCCTCAGATCTCCCAACCGGAGGAATTCCACGACGCGCTTGTGGCGTGGTTGACCAAATAGATAGTTAGGGAAGGGCGCGCCTCAGAGGGGCTTGACGAAGCGTGCCTTTGAGATGTGATATAGTAATGTAATGCTTGTGCAAAATCAAACGACTGCTGCATCATGTTCTTTTCGCGTCTGAAATTCGAGAGGCACTGCGGTCGCCCTACCAGCAGATCCTACTTTATGTTACACATACGCCCTGCCTGGGCTTTCGGTAAGCAACCAGATTGGAAGACTGTCAGTCAGAAACCGGCAATGCCGAATGAGATACTGTCACGCCACGCACCTAGGAAGCAATGACTTGTTACGGCAGGCTCTGGATGGCTGCTAGCTCAGCACAAAGTGCATTTGACCTCACTTTTCACTCGCCAAAATTCGGTCGGGGCTAAACTTACATGCAGACCAGATTTCGGCAGAGGCCAATCATGAAGGAATAGTTTGAGACGTTCAATACGCGGCGTAGTAATTACAGCTAGATCAGATTTTGGGACGGGCCAATCAATTCCACATGCCGCCACACGTATTCATACCTCATATGAACCCCTCGTCTCTCCCAGATGAAGTCGCAAAAAGATAGACTATTTTGAAAACTTGCGACATTCGACCTACTCAACCTCAGTACGACGATTCGGACTCGTTCAAAGGCAGTTTTGACGTTTTCCTCCAGTCTCCACTTAAACCGCACACGACGAGCTCTCTTCAATCCGCCATGGCTCCTCAACAAAGGCAATCTGTAATCGTCGACACGGATTGGGAGCGGGTTAGGCCCGTCATTCGACAACTATATCTTCGAGAAGATAGAACGCTAAGCTTTGTTCTTACCACCCTCAAGACCCTGCATAATTTCCAGGCAAGGTTAGTTATACTTCTAAACCAACACCCATCAACACTTTCCAGTAGAACTTTCACCACCGGAAAAGAATTCTAACAATTCCCCAGCAAATCCCAGCTGGAATGGAAACTCAAGCAATGGCACATAGTCAAGAACATGACCGCCCAACAGTGGAAGCATGTCAATGCTCGGGTCGTTGAGCGACAAAGCCTGGGCAAGGAAAGCAGTTTGTATCTCTCTGGGGTTATATTAGAACCTGCAGCGGTAAAAAAGGCAAGAAGTCGGCACTCTCACACTTCAGTCCTCGAACAGTTCAATCCAGGTAAGCGCACTTTCTCTCGCACATCTCTCGACCATAAGCAAAAGGATGTTTCTTCCAGTCTTCTCTTTTTTTGGTTTTTTTCCCCCCTTTTACTGCTTCATCAAACGCATTACCAATGTTATGTCGCATTTTCTTCACACCATGTGTTTTCATGACTGCGCTAACCGACTGTTACCAGCATTGGTCGCATACTCATTGCCTGCGGATTTGCCACTAATCATTCGAACCCCGTCGCCCGATCCAGGAGCTCGATGTCGTATTGCGGACATTCCATGGTTTCAATGTCAACAACTCTTGAGTGGTATATCTCAAATCTTGCACCATGTGAAATTTTCATCTCTTGCTGACTGGCTCAGCTTTGACAATATCAGAAACCATATCCCCGCAAGTCCCTAACATCTCATCCGCCACCAATTCCGTTTTCAGGGCGCTCAGCTATGTCGTATCCCGGGAGCCTCGACCATTATTACACGCACCAAACGCCCAGCAAATCTTCCAGGCTCTGTCCCTCGTAATGCCTGTGAAAGCAACAGAAGACCATGCATATAGGACAGAAGGGATCATCCAATACTCGTCGTCAAGAGTGCTCACATCCGAAGCCTTGGAAACCATCATCTTCCTACTCTCCAATGGTTTCTGTGGCTACTTGGATCACGAAGTTCAGGAGCGAGACAATATCAATGAGGCGATTTTGGCGATAATCCGGGTATCCAATACCTGGAAACTGCTAGTATCTCAGCGTCGTAACAATTTACCGCTGAGTCTTCAAGCTTCTCTAGATCGGATGTTCGAGAAAGCAGTAATAGCATCAGATCTTATTACTATGGAGTCTCTTATCATGGCCGGGGTCGATGTTGACCTGCCTCTACAGAATGCGCCGTGGAACGAGGATACATTCAAATCTTCGAGAGCACTCCACTGGGCCGTCATTTCACTAAACTTGAACATGGTGGACCTCCTCGTCAGACTTGGTACTAGTACCGAGTCAGTTGATCTTGAGATGCTTCAGGTAATATGCCGTAGACATCGCATGTACGATGAAACGGCACTTGCGGCTATGTCGAAATGGATACTGTCCGTGTACGAATACCATGACAGAGACGATCCCGTAGCCCAGCACCTCTTGGAGTATCTCTCTTGGACACCTCACTCTCCGAACACAGAGCTTATCCTGCACTGTCTGGGGCCCAAACTTCGCAAGCCTGAGACACTTGGTCAGTTTCTCATCACAGCCGTCAAAACAAGGAGTCAATCTACTTCTGAATGGATTTCTAAGCACTCGAAGTACCTCGACTATATCAACTTCTTAGGGGAGTCAGTCCTCGGCGCTGCAGTCTCCAGGAAAGAATATCAATTGTGTGAACGCCTCTTGGAGCTGGGGTCTGCGTCAGAGCCTGCCGACGGTGCCTATCACAGCGTATATGGCACACCACTTCAATGCGCCGCTTCCAATGCTGATTCGAGACTCATCAGACTTCTGCTGGATCACGGCGCAGATGTGAACCACTGCCAACCCTCTATGGAAGCCGACGATATTCTGAGAGCACATCTGCGTCGTGTCTATACTTCTAAAGCCACTCATGAAGAGCTTTTTGGTGGAGAGATTGGAAGAACTGCATTACAATCGGCCTTGTCGAGCGGTCGTGAGGAGAATGCTCTATTTCTCCTCGCGCGCGGAGCAGAACAGATCGGAGGAGAACTTTCAATTGCAATTCGCACTGGCCAGGATAACATGATCACGCAGTTACTGGCACATGGCGCTTCGCTCTCGGCATTGAGCTTTGATGACAGGCCATCACCACTCGAGTCCGCCATTGTGAAGCAGGATCATGATCTGGCTCTACAATCATTCAAGCGACGAATGCCACTCAGTTTCCAGCAAGAGCGCTTTATATAGCTTTACGCATTGCGCTGGTCACACGTCATTGGATCGTCTTTCGCAAGCTCATTGACATGGGGCGGACCTTCATCTTGGAACAGAGCTCTACGCCAAAGAATTTCTGGCTCGGATCGGCGATGTGTCTCGCAATGCGACTCGGCAGCGACGATATAGCAGGCCAGATTATGATGACTTTTCGCCCTCGATACTCGGCTAGCATGTCATATGCTGGGAATCCACTTCCCAAGATGCCACCTGAGGTTTCTATGCGGGAATACGAAACAGACTGCCTTGTATCACTCAATCCAAAATCTCTCTGGCGATCGATGTTCTCTCTGGTCACTTATCATGCCCTATCATCTTCGCCCGAACTCGTTGCGAAGATGATAGCACATGGCTATCACTTCAACATGGACTGCTCCGATGTTGTCAATAATCCCCGTGTGCTGAGTATCTTACCTCTTCTTAAGCAAGATGGACCATGGATAGATAGGATACTTCTGACGGAGGCTATCTGGAGAAGAAAGTCTGCGGTTGTCAATTGGTACTTTTCCTCGGGAATTGGAGTCAACACCGCCCGCTGGCATAAGAATCATACATATCCAGAAACCCCGCTTGCAGCTGCTGCCTCCGTGGGTGACATCGATCTCGTGAGAAAGCTCATTGATCTAGGGGCGGATGTTAATGAAGACCCGAAGGGCTTCTCACTCTCTAGGCCTTTAACATTGGCAGCTGAAGCGGGGTTCTTTGGAGTTGTGAAACTCTTGCTTGAAATGGGCGCAGATCCTAACGCTCCGGAAGGGCATTTGAGTGGCCGCCGTAGCTGGACAGCTCTAGAAGCTGCCTCGGTCAAGGGAAGACTAGACGTTGTGCAGCTTCTGCTTGATTCCGGCGCTTTCACTGAAGGACCTGGTCATCGGCAGTATGTCAGGTCTATCGCTTTTGCACGGAAATACGGATTCTATGCAGTCGAGAAGCTGCTGAAGGGATGTCGACGCTGGACCGAAGCTGATCAAGACTTGCTCGATACATCCAACCTGCTGGATGATAGGACCACCGATAGCTCTGAGCACATCCCCGAGTACATCTCGGAGGAGAGCTGGGAAGCAAATTCCGACGACAATTCCAATAACAGCGTCAACTCGCTCAGATATTACGCTTCCGAGGTTGAGAACAGTGAGGTGGACTCATATACCATGGATGAACTCGAAGCTGAGAGTGAATTCGCAGGGCATACTTGGTCGTATGTGGAGCCTGCGGTCATCGTGGCACCAAGAGAGAGAACGGAGAGCATGTTTCCAAAGCCCGAAGATCTAAGATTGCCTGACAACCATGAAGTGTTGTTCAAGGACAGCGAAATTAGAATAGCGGATGTGTCTACAAGCAGTGAAGCACCACAGACATTCCAAAGGTTGAAGACCGACGGTTTGAGCGAACCAATTCATGTCCAAGAGAATAGCAGTGACGCCTGGATGGAGAAGTACGTTTGTTTTCCCTCGGGCACGCCCTCTACTTGGGAGCATAGCGATATTCCCTAGTACTGTACTCAGCTAGTTCATCTGATTCTTTCCTTCCTAGTCAACACCAAAGATTTCCACGAATATGAAGTGTGGTATTTGTGAATGAACGTTTCTATCCTTAGCAAAACAGTGATTCCCAGAGCCATATAATGGGGTCAGGGGCCACTTCAATGCGCGTTGTGTGGTCTTAGATGTCTCTATCAAAATATGATGTGGTGAACGTTATTTTCCAGACCTTAAAGATCTGCTTCATACAAGCCACGAGAGCAGTTTTCAGCTCGCAAGTCTCTATTTAGGATTGTCTGATAACTAGCATCCCTCAGCTGCAGTCGCACAGATAGCGATGCGTGAAATAGCCTAATGTTTTCGCACCCGACGATCTGATGCTATCAAACCACCCAACTTCGCGATGCCTCTTTTGGCCATCGTTCTGATTTATAGATTTAGTCCAGGTATATTAGGGACGAAGATTCAGTGACTGTCGCAAATGAGGATGGAGATGTCCCGTACTACGGGCCTTCAGATGTCGATAGCACGCGGCGGGGCATCGCCAGGTAATGTCACTTCAGATTTCATTGACAGGGAATCAGACACGGCATTTCCTGATCATTGATTATCATTCAACTCCTTCCTCATGAGCCGTGTCAGACGCTGTGTCATGGTTGACTTCACATCTCATTCATTCCAGATCCCACCCAACACCGCTACCGCGATACGGCCTCCCAGCCCACCTTATCCCCCTCTCAATCCTTCGGCCCAACTCCAAACTCGCGAGTCTCATACAGACTTCCCACGGTGACGCCCCTCTTCTCGGCAACCATACCCATCAGCTGCTGCCCCACATCCTTGATCTGGTTGTACTCCCGCAGGAGCTTGACGTGTTTCGCAACCACGGCTGAGGCCTCCTCCAATTCTCTGCATGCAAGAAAACATCAATAAAGTCTCTCAGTATGTTTTGAACGCGTCAAGAAACAGTTTCACGAAGAAAATAAAGGTTAAACTCGTTGTGGTGTCTTACTTGTCTTTTTTATCTTCTTTGTTTGTTGGTTTTGAAGAAGAAATCATGGAATCTTCAATATTTTGTGTCATCTTGGGCTGCATGTCTCTGTACACAGTCTCCTATGTCTCTTTGAAATACCCAGACTCTACAGACTCAGAATCATTTATTCAATGGCCAAATTTTTGCTGTATGATGAAGAAACGGTACTTATTGAGTAATCCAAGGCGCGTCTTGATGCTGACATGAAGTCGAAGCACGGACCACAAACATACACCCAGCTCACTCAGCCTTGTATTGGCAAGAACAAACAGCACCTGCTTCCTTCAGAGCAGGTGAACAAAAAGCGGACAAATACACGCAATAAGATACAACAAGACTTTGATTATTACTTAGAAATATTCCAGATTACAGTTACATCACAGGACATCATTCACAATAGGCAAAAAGTGAGACAACAGTCGGGTAAGTCAAAAGAGTGGACGATCTGGGAATCGAACCCAGGACCTACCGCATGCTAAGCGGTCATTATACCACTAAACCAATCGCCCATTGTTGAAAGGGCAAGTCTGATACGCGCCCATGTAGGGCGCGCGGGTGGCCGCGCTGCGCAAGGAGAGGCTTCGCTCGAAAGAGGGCCGTCTTCCTTTCTGCCCGGCGCGTCGACCTCGTCGCCCGCTCGATGACCTCACCTGAAGGGTTCAAGGGCCGTCAATCAGCGGACGGCTCATGACTTGCAGCTGCAGCCGGAACCCACGTCTACAAGAAGAGCCTGTCACTCAGGCAAACAGCTACTGCACCTCGATTTTCACAGGAGTCTGAACTCTCTCCGTGTGAGGTTTGGGACACACCGAGCTGGACCCTTGGACGATAAGATTGTGCCGTGTAGTGGCGGCGGGTCTCAGGACTTGGGATAAGATAGGGCACACTAACGCGTCTTGTCGCGAACATGTCACGTTCACTAAGTGCCGTCGCGGGTGTGCCAATATTCAATCTGAGCATTTGAGATGAGAGTGCTCAAGTTTCGCGCGTGGGACCGTCTTTCGAGTGTAACGGAAGGTTGTTCTCGTCAATGTTCTGTCATCGATTATTTCACTTTTTCGCGACCATTGAGCAAGAAAGATCGCAACATTCACTTCATCCGCATACTTAGATGGTCACTTGATATCATCGTTTCACATGAGCTCTTCATGATTGTAATGCAATTACTTCTCTAAGCACAAGACGCCTCGCCAAGGTTCCCCTCCCAAAATGCCGTGGTATACTTTTCTTCTTCATAGTTCTTTTTTGTTCGTTTGATTTCCGTCTGCTCTTCTTCGAATATCGCCTCATCTGGGACTACTGGTTGTTCGTCTAAGGGGGAAACCTTGGGGAAGGGGGGGGAAAGATTGAAAAAAAAGAGGATGAGATCGAGGAGGCCATTGATCGATAGGATGAATGTTGTTGAAGTGTGTGATATCAATTCCCATATAATTCAGAGAGCCAAAACCCCGAAATCTTTTCACGGTAACCACCATTAAAAAGACAAAGTACACCGGAAAAAAGCCCATGGACATGAATCATCTTGATTGAGTGTGTGTTGTGACTTATTGCGAGAAAAGGGGGTTTTTGGTTGGTGCGTATTTGTGTGTTTTTGGTGGTTGAACCGGGTTTACCGAAAACACCGAGAACGGCGGCGCGGGGGGGTATTGAACAGGATGATGATGATTTTGCAAAGCGAAGCCTTTTCGGACTCACTCCATAAAAACTCTCTTCTCTCTCGTTTGGGACCCCCCAAAATCATCTCTTATTTTTGAATTCCCCCCCCCTTCCAATGACCAGCCCATTTGTGCCATCAGCAAAATGAAGAATTTCCCTTGTGAACCGCCCACGCCAATCTAATGAGGAAACGCGAGGAAGAGGACAGAAATGCGCGAGAAATCACCCTCCGAGTCTTTTCATCTTTGGTCGGACTATCGTGTGGGTGTTGGTGGTGGGTATGGTGGTGGCTCAACGGGGATAAAGCCCTCCCTCCTCTCCTCCTCCATTTCCCTCAAGACAGGGCCGGGTCCCAAAAACAATCAACGTCGAAAAGGGATTTGTCGACTACGTTTAGTAGCCGAAGGCCTCGAGGGCCTGCGCCGTCTTCTGGTCGACCTTGGCGTTCTTCTTCGCGTCGGTGAGCTGGCGCTGAGCGACCTTCTTGCGCTCGTAGTAGGCAGCACCCTTGGCCTTGCGGCGCTCCTCGAGTCTGGGGGATTTGTCAGTATGGAGAGACCAACAACGACGTATTCTCATGTGAAGGACATACCTGGCAACGACGTCCTGGTACTTCCAGCCGACCTCGTGGGAGAGACGGCCAACGGTGCAGAACTTGCGGCCGGGCTGCAGTCTCAGGACACGGAGGGCCTGGGGGACGACCATCTTCTTCTGCTTGTCGTAGGGAGGGGGAACACCCTCGAAGACCTTGAGGCGCTCAAGAGCGGCGGCACCGCGAGCAGTCTTGTGGGGGATCATGCCACGGACGGTCTTGTAGAAGATACGCGACGGGGCGCGGAAGTGGAAGGGACCTATAGCGGTCAAGTCAGACATTTGAATGTCCTCGAGTTGAGTATCTCAGCTAGGAGACAGAGCAGAGCCCGGATGTATATGTATGTATGTGTGTTGGCTTACCACCGCGAGTCGGGTTGTAACGGGTCATCTTGCGCAGGTAGGCGTGGTACTTGACTATAGCCATTCATCAGTATCATGTTCGATCGGTTCGAGTTGTCGGCACCGCAAGTCTTCGTAGGTTCCCAGAAAGTGTTTCCTCCTCTTTTGACAGACTGGGTGTTGCGACCGGTGGGGGTAGTGTTGAGAAGGAGAGTCGACATACGCTTGGCACGGAAGAACTCGCCAGAGATGTTGAGGGCCTCGGTGCGGACAACGACGATCTTCTGGCCGTTGAGAAGCTGCTTGGCGACGATGGAGGCAAGACGACCAAGGAGATGGCCCTTGCCGTCGATGACGACCTGTAGAAAGGACTGGAGTCAGCGATCTGTATCTCCAAAGAATGTATTCGCGGTCGGCCGATGAGGAAATTCGGGATTCAGTTTTTTGAGGCGTCGGCGACAACAGCGGCGGCGAGCTGGAATAGCGAAAGCAGCGTTGACGTGAAGGCGGGCTGCAGTCCAGTGCCATTGTCCCATCGCATGGTGTTCCTTGCTCCCACAAGTATCCCGAAAGTCCTCATCGTCGATATTCCGCGGATCCCATATATGTCGATACGGGAACCGTAAAAAGACACTTCGGTAAAGACTCACCACCGGCTCGAAAGAAGACATCGTTCCTGTTCCTTTAAAAACACCGGTTCGCGGTGTTCTGCTGAAAAAAAGAAGGAAAAGGGGGAATCAAATCTCTGGGCGGAATGGGTGCCTCTGTAGAGATTTGGTCTGCTGCCGTTGGGTTAGTATTGTCGGAGGGTGAGTTTTGGAAGAAGCCGTCGCGACAATCTTGAAATCGGGGCGGGCACACAACTGGGAAGGGGACAGGTCAATGAGAAATTTACACACGCACACACAAAACCCCCCAATGGCACGTCAGGAAAATGAATGGCGCTAGCCCTTTGTGGCAAGGAAGTCTCCATCACAAGCGAGGGTTGGAAGTGGGGCCTGAGGCAGCTTAGGGCTGGAAAGACCTACCAGAAGGCGCGCATCCTCTCAGCGCTTCCAGTGCCTACAGCCTTAGGTTTCTGCTGACTCACCTTGACTTTCCAGTGCGGGCTCACCTCGGTGTACCTTAAGGTTCCAGCATGTAGCGGGGCACCTGCTGGCGGCCAGACCCCAATCGACGACTCACCTTGCCCACGTCTGTCACTGCCGCTTCCATTCACCGGGCCTCTCTCTCTCCCCTGTGTCCCGAGGCCGCCTAGGAAATGATACCCGATACCGGATTAATCGATAACGGCCTCTCTGTCACATGAGATAAGGAGACCCGTTGACTAAGCCAACGACGTCAAGCATGGCACAATTGTTTAAACGGGAGACCGGGATATCCCCACGACTGGACCTCGTCGACAACGTCACGCTGCAGCCCTGCTTCAGTGACAGAATGCGGCTATTCCAAGATCCAGTTCCAGGTCCAGGACTTGGTAGGCTGTGCTCGTATGCATCATGTGCGCAATGGATGGAGTGAAGATCCCAGTACACTTGGGTTGTTTTGCAGTTCCTGTCTACGGCGTGCTATGCGCCTCTCTGCCTGTCTCTGCCTCTGCCTCTGCTCGTCGTCTCTGCTCCCCATTGCTCAGCACCATCTTCTGCTCAAGTAATGGCCATCGTTGTACAGCATCCCCATCACAAGCTGTCCCGAACTCCCATCGCACCCGCCATTCTACGCGGGATGCCTCTAGATGCAAATCTCGCTTTGATAAAACATGCAGCTTGACTGAATAGAAACCCTCCACAAATGCTCATCTAGAAGAACTCAACGGAAGTAGGCCGTTATTAGTAAACAAACGTATTGCAGAAACAGCAGGCACCCTCCCAATGACGCCCCAATTCGCTTCTTTTATGCCTTGAGCCTCGCGTCAAGGCGCTTCAGGACATCCTGAACGGTTTGGACCAATGCTTTTCTCTTCATTCTGGCGTCCTGGTCGCCTTCCGTCTCGACCTCGTCAAGCTTCAGAAGCACATGTTGCATCGTCGTCTCAGACAGCTTGCGGTGCTCCTCCTCTCTCTTCTTGGGGTCTGTCGGGGGCGAGGCGATGTAGTCCTCACAAGGCTGGCGAAGATCCGCCTCGAATTTTGCTGCAATGGCATCGAGCTTGGCGTGAGGGCCGTTGGCCTTGCTGGGGGAGGGCGAGCTTTGTCTCTCCTGACCCGGGACGCCGAGATTTGATGCGCTATCCCGGGGGCTGGTGTTGCTGCTTCGCTTCTTGGATTTGCGACCCTTCTTCTTGCCACGGCGCTTCTTGCCGTCATCGGTGCCGCCATTGCTGCCCACTGCGCTGCCGCCATCACCACCCACAACGACCATTTCCTCGTCCGAATCGTCGCTGCTCTCGGCGTCGACTTCGCCCTCGGGCAGCACCACCATGACTTCGCTGTTGTTCTTGACACCGTAATCCCGGACGGGCGCAGCGGGCTCCTTGAGCTGGCGGCCCTTGTAGAGAAGCTTGACGCGGCGTCCACGTCTCTCGGACAGCTCCAGCAGGACGCTTACCCGGTCCCGGACATCGCGAACGCGCAGCTTGCCGTCGCCAATGGCATACGCGGGGAAGTGGGCGGGATAGGTGATGCCCTTATTCTTGATGAGGAGGATGTCGTCGTCGGGGACGCTGCCACGGGATCGGGGGTTGTGGGCGTAGGATCTCGTCGGGACAGAGCTACCAAGAGAGGTCGACTGCAGGTCCTCTGTGGTGATGTAGCTAAAGTCTTCGTCCGTAACGTCGGGAACACCGCTGAGGGTGGAGCCGTAAGGGGATATTTGTTCCCGATTTGTCGACCAGCCGTATCGAGACATGGTGAAGGGGACTGCGAGAAGGATGCAGCCAATGGTGGAGTAGAGGATGAGGTTCGGATCGATGCCGGTGGTGTCGGAGATGTATCCGGAGTAGTTGGCGATAGTTTTGGCTAGGCTGGCGATGGACTTGTCGAGATAGACCTGGAGGGTGGTGGGTAACAAGGCGGTGATGTTTTGGAGTGCACCAGAAGATGCCAGAAGAGGCTGACTGGAAGCCACCTTGGCGGGAGTAGGCGGTCCTTAAAGCTAAGGACGCTGAACCGGGAGAGAGAAAAAAGTGGATGAGAAGGAGGGGGAGGGGGTGGAGGAGAGAAGAGGTGAAGTGAGGCAAGGTCGGAAGGCGACAGCAGTGATTGGTATCGTGGCGGATGGGGGTGAAATGTTGATCGTGGGCGTCGGGTGCCGTGGGGATGCCCTCGTCTGGAATTTTCCGACTCGCGGGGTTCGAAGATCAGGCCGTTCTGCAGCAAGGCAGGTCGTACACTACGGCGCAGGCTCTGGTAAGGTCCTTGGAAAGGGAAAGGAGTCGACACAATGCAGCAGCACCAAGAGAGAAGAAGGCTGCAGAAGCAGTGGGGTAAATGGAAATAAAATAAAGATAAAACAAAAAACGAGCTGTTCTCTTCTGTTCGATTCGGGTGCTTGGCTGCTTGGGTCGTCGAGAGTTTCGATCCGGCTCTACCTGGCGTGGGCGATCACCAGCCTGGGTCAAGGATCCAGGTGGTGGCTCGTTGGCTTTGGTGAGGCTGTAGAAGCAGGACTGGAAAGAAGGCAACGCGCTGTCAGCTTTTGGGGTTCTGGTGGGTGGTGGATGGGCGAAGAGGCGATGATGAGGGCGGCGGGCAGGGATGCGACGAAGCGTCCGGTTCTAGGTGAGGGAGTGCGTGAGCGAATGTGGTCTGCGTGAGGAGTGGTTGTGTGTGTGTGTGTGTGTGTCAAAGGTGGCCCTACGGGACTCGGAGAGGATGACGGCAGAAAGTTGGGGACGACGGCGAGAGGTGAGTGGTCGGAAGTGATGGTGTTGCGTAAGGTTGCGCGATGGTAAAGCGTGGAAGTGGATGTGGAGGGGAGGTTCTAGAAAAAACCGGGCAGGTCGCAAAAGGCAGCGAATGACGGGAATGCGCGCCGAGGGAGGACCCGGTGTCATTGGCCGGGCCGAGAGACGGTGCCACGGGTCCTTTCTGCGCTGCGAGCTGTCACGATACGTAGTAGATACACGTACCTTTTTAAGAACTATAGTGAGAGGTTCACTGACTGGTGATGGTTTGGATAGCAGGTTGAGATGGACCAGTTCATAAAGGCTTCAAATAAGTTCTTGCACGACCAAAACTGCGGCAAAGAGGACACGAAGCCTGCTTGGGATTGGCTTGGTGTTTGCAAATACTTAGGTAACTCTCACCAGTCCTCGAGGATTCTCTGCACGACAACAACTGGGGCAGGCGGAATCAGCAATTGGCTACGATTCGGCGAGCAGCCGATATTTGCAGGGGGCCGGGAATAATCCCATCTGACTTTCAAACCCAACCCAGCAGCCATACTCCGTCCACAACGTTGACCCATTTACGCAGTACCTGCTGTGTGTACGGAGTCGGAGTACCAGTCATCATGAACCTCGAGACGTGTGCTGCGCTGTAAGGGTGCCCGAGGATGCGGTCAGGCGCTAGACGCGGGTAATAATTGTGGGTGATGCGGATAGATCGATCCCCCAACTTGGGTATGATAGCCTCATTCCCTCAGCCTCCCATGTGGAATCCTGGGTGCATTCATGTTGTCATTAACCACGAAAAGATGGTGGTATTCGTGAAGGTAAGGTACCTTAGCTATTGGCAGAAACACGAGGTGCACGGAAATCCAGGGTCCTCTTATCTTTATCTTATCGTCATCCCAAGACGGTTACCTGATTGCTTACCTCATCTCACGGCAAGCGGACCCAACTTCGAAAGCTTCGCAGTAATACCTGCAGACTCGAGGCACTGGCCGGTCCTTGATCCTTCCATTTGCTCTTCGGTGCTGAGGTGAGCTCATTGCCCATTTTGAATTAGCCTCTTCGCCTTTCTCTGCTTCGCCGAGGTCATCAAATCATCTCCGGTGTGGAAGCTCGCTATCGACGGGTGCTCTCAAGAGCCCGAACACAGCTGACAAACCTCAGCTCACCTTAAGGTACCTGGAAGGTGTAACACGCCGAGGCAGGTGAGCTTTGGGAGAGCCGGTGTCTTATAAACCGGGTCTTTGCTCCCAAAGGTATCGAAATTTGGAAGCCACACCACGGTTGTACAGTTACACTAAACTCTGTGACCTCCACCTTCTAGAAAAATCGTATTACTTAAGCAGCTAAAACCCGCCCAATTGCATCATCCACTCCCGCCGCCTTCGGCCCCGAATTGCCTTTCCCTCGCTACAAGTCCCGTCCCCGTCGCGACCACACTGAACGAACCGCATCCAGCTCCAGCACAGCACCAGCACCAGGCACCCAGCACCCCGCCCCTACCTGCTGCATTGCGACACTTTGCCTGACAAATAACCCCCCCCACCTTCTGTCCCTCCCCGTCGCCTGCTGCGTTTCATTATATCATCGCCCCTGCCCCTCCTTCCACCACTCTTCTCCCTCCGAAATGGCATCACTATTCAGACGTCTCTTCTCCTCATCCTCGACATCACCAGCAAACATGGCCGCCACCAAGCAAAAGGTTCAGTCCCTCATCGACGACAACAAGGTCGTCGTCTTTTCAAAGTCGTACTGCCCCTACTGCCGCGCAACAAAGTCCGTCCTCGACGAGATCAACGCCGACTACACCGTCCTCGAGCTCGACCAGATTGGTTAGTCTTTTCCCATTCACCTACCAACACCAGCACCTAGGCAACGTACTGACACCAACACAGACGATGGCAGCGCCATTCAGGACGCCCTCCACGAGATCACCGGCCAGCGCACCGTCCCCAACAGCTTCATCGCCCAGAAGCACATTGGCGGCAACTCGGACCTGCAGGGCCTGCTCAAGGGCGGCAAGCTCGAGAACCTTCTCAAGGAGGCCGGCGCTCTCAAGGCGTAAGGCACCCAATTTCGTCTTCGGTGTAGAGAGAAAGACAGAAAGAGGGGGGCAGACATTGTGTGTTTGATTAGAAATCGGTTGGAGAATGCATACAGCACAGAGTACGCTGACGGCTCGAGCTCAAGGCCGTCCAAGTTGTAGCTGTTGCTGCACAATCGTTCAACCCGATGGGAGTGAGAATGGTGGATTATGATATACCATGGGCTTGAAGGCATAGAGAAGGGTGCTCAGAGTCTCAAAATACAAGTTTTCAAGAAATGACATTGGCCTTCCTTTTGCAAGAACCGTCTGTTGTGAGGACCTCGTCTAGTGTGTTGTACATTTTGAGCCGTGACTATTTTCAACTAATTCTACAAATTTCTCTTCGTTCACCTTTTTTACACAACCTGCGCGGCAACAGTACCGACAGGCCTCTCGACAAACTCCATGACGCCGTCGATAATGCTCTCTCTCGCCGGCGGCGAAGCGACCTTGCTGCCCGCAAGCCAGTTGAGCCACAATAGCCTCGACACGCGCTCATCCTGCACCCTGCCGACACTCTGCCTACCCATGCTGCGGCCATCGTCAAAGACGACCTCAAGCTGGCCCTTCTCATCACGGCAGAGCAACAGCTCCTTGTTCTTCTGCACCTTGCCGCGGTTGAACAGCCTCTTGAACTCCTTCATCGCCTCGCCGAACCCTTCATCTCCGTACGCCTCCTTATCCGCAGACGACCGCGCCGTGATGGCCCGCACGAATCCGTCACGGAGGTGAGGGAAATCGGTGTCGCGCACGGGGACGATGCGGAATGCGCTGCGGGTGCCGACCTCCTGCAACAGCGCCGTCCACGTCTCCTCGCCCTCGACGGGGTCGAACAGCTTCTCCTTGAGGCTGTCACGCTCCGAGGGGACGAGCGTCGTCGCGATGGGGTTGATCTTCTTGGTGAGGTAGTGCTGCAGCTTCGCGACGTCCTGGGTGGCGACGTAGTAGCCCACCATGTACACTTGGATGCTGAGGAAGCTGACGGTGCGGATGCCGAGGCCGACGAGGGTGTATTCTACGCCGTCCGTGTCCTGCACTGTCGCGGCACGTCCTGGGTGGCGACGTAGTAGCCCACCATGTACACTTGGATGCTGAGGAAGCTGACGGTGCGGATGCCGAGGCCGACGAGGGTGTATTCTACGCCGTCCGTGTCCTGCACTGTCGCGGCGATGGGCGCTTCCGGATCGCGGTGGGCTTTGCTTAGGGAGAGGTCGATGGTCCGCGGGAAGCTAGGCACCGTCTTGTTGCCCGTCGGCACGAGCTCTCGGCCTTCTTCGTCGTGGATGACGACTTTGCGCTTGGTGCCGGCCTCGGTGGTGAAGGTCTCTGCCGGCACAGAAGAATCGAGTTGGAATCCGGCGCGCTCGCTCGTGCTGCTGCCGCTGCCATTGTCGCTGCCGCCGCTGTCCTCCGCGGCGTTGCGCTTCTTTTCGGCGGCGAGGGCCTTGCGGAGCTTGTTGGCCGTGTACGCAAATGACACGATGCCGGCGAGGGCACCGGCGACGAGGAAGTATGTGCGGTCTCGGTCGTAGCTGGAGCGGGCTTCGCTGAGCTGGCCGAGGTTGAAGCGCTCGACGGGGCGGGAGGGCGAGCTGCGCTGGCGAGAGAAAAGGGTGCGGCGACTAGTTCGGACGGGCGGCTGCGGGTGCGGCAGACCCCTGGGCAGGGCCCGGAGAGTGCGTGGGCGGAACATTGGGGTAGCGGGCGTGAATCTGAGTATTAGGTATGCGAGTATGTGTGTGTGTCGTGTTGGCGGCGAGCGAGAGTGCGCCTGTAGTTGCAGTGGTAGAGGTCACTCGGTACTATGGACCGTGTGGAGGAACAATAGTCGATAAAGGGAAGTGGGCTGATGGAGATTCGCGGGATTCTTCAGATGGTGCGGGATGGTCGGGCGGGGACAGCCGTCAACGATGCAGTACCTTGAACGGTAGAACCGGGCTTGCTAATTCGAGTTCGGTGCCGGTCGGGCAGGACGATTCATGGCCTGGTCATGTGGGCAGGTGTAATTTGGCCTATTCGTTTGCACAGACTGGCGAGCTGCGAAGGCAATGGAGCGAGTCTGATCGTGACTTGAGGCTCGTAGTCGAGAGCTGTCAGTGTCAATTGCATGGCAATTGGAGCTCTCCCCATTGGATCCAATTCCCCCGATGCCCTGAGGAATTGGAGCACGTCAGCGAACGAGGCACCTGAGTGGCCCGGCGCATAATCGGCCCCTCCGAATGACGCCCTGCGGGTCACGTGGCGGTGTCTTCCGTTCTGCTTAGGTAAGGAAAGATACGTACTGCGGTATCCCTCACTTTTGGCTGTGGTCTGTGCGGCCATCCTCCGACTCCGCCTCCGCCTCCACCTCCGCCTCTCCGCCTCACATCGCAGTCCCTGGACACAACTTCACAAACGAGTGGACAGCTTCAGGTGCATCTACTAATATCTGCGACATATGCAAGGTAAAAGTTGGTCTACTGCGGGTCAAGGGCTGGACTGGGCTATTTGAAGACTCTGATTTTTCTATTTTATCCGCGTACAAGATCATGGAAACGTCCCAGATGGAGATGGTGGATGTTGTGTTGGAACTAGGTCGTTGGATGCAATCTGACATGGCACATGCATTTGCCCATCTGTTCTATGAGAATGGTCAGGATGCGTCAAAGTCAATGTATGAGGATCTAGTCTCTCGATAGACATGACAGCCGATTTTGCAATCACTCGGTGACTTGATGCTAAGACTTCCAGGGTTCCCACGCTCAGAGACCACCATTACATCACAGCAGGGTTGCACGTCTGTGATCCGAAAATGTGAAATGGGCGAAGCTGAGTGGACGCTCGTCTGTGGCCGTCTAAGCGCCCACGCGTGATGGCGTCCAGGATCGTGACGGAATCACGCTGGGCCGCGAAGCCACCGCTCACTCACACACACGTTGGCCTGGCTGTGTGGGCTGTCACTTGAAGAGTGCGTCTGTCTTGCATGCAGACCTCGCAGATGGCTAGACCACGGGAGTGCTGCGACTGCGCCGTTGTGATGGTGAGGACGTCGCAATCTGATATTCCTTCTGAGTAGGCTCATCCAACACCCCCAACCAGGTGAAGCCAATCCAACCTCACCCAATGCAGGGCTTTGCTGATGCCCCTCTCAATGACGAATGAGGTGAGACCCAGCCAGGCTGGTCGTCCCCGACGTGACGACGTCTTATCCCATCCCGCAGACCCTGCACACGTTGTCTTTGGTACGCGAGGGGGTTGCTATTCTTGTCCACTGCGGGAGCATTCCTTATTCCCAACTCAATCGGCCTACCCCACCATACCTCGACGATGCCTCTGGGTCTGTGAACTCGGGTCCCCGGGAGCCTCGTTGACCGAGTACCCATCTGCCTGCCCGTAAGTCTGATGGTGGGAGAAGGGCAGCGCCTGGTATCGACGATTGCGAGCTCTCACTGCTTTTCGTATGTGAGCGCAGAAGCTGAACCCGAAAAGCCAAAAGCCGTGGAAGCCCGTCTAAGCCGGCTTGGCATTCACTCAATCTTCCCGTATCCAAGGCTCAACACCGCGGACGAAGGAACTAGACGACGCGGCCTACACACCGAGGACGCGAACTCGGCGATCGTAGTCACCGATCCCCGACGTCCGACGTCTTCCTTTACAATGCTTGCAGGTGACATGCGGGACATGCCGTCAGACCAATGTGATTGAACGAGTGGTCTTGCGGCCCTCATGCTTTGAAGCAGTCGCCGCAAGATACCATTTGCCCTACGAATTGTAGGTGTTAAAGCAGGGATGATCCAGGTGGAAGAACGTCCTTAAAGACCGGGGTAGTCGGGAGTGAAACAGTATCAGGTGCAGAGAAGACCAACGACATTGGTCCCAACGTGTTCAGCATCCTTGTGCTGAAGTGTGAGGACTCAGGGAGCATCAAGGAAGAAGCCGAGATGGAAACTCAAACAGAGCATCCTCACGAAACGGCAACAACAAGCTAGGCTAGGGATAAGCTGTCTAGGCTGTCTGGGGAGAGCGGACCGCATTACAGTCGAGCATCCGAGGCCCTGACATCCCGTCTCATAAGGCAGGGAGGGTGGGAGGAAATTTCTTGAGACTGTCGTTGAGAGCACACTAGGAAAGGGGGACAACAATGTCAGGCCAAGACAATGGCACAATGTATGGGGGCCCGCGTCTGTGCCCCGAGATGCAGGAATGGAGATTGGGTGCCCTGAAGACGAAGCTCGAGCTCAAGTCTGAGCGTGGAGGAAGATGGCGCCACGGGTATCTGCTGAAGATTTGGTCTCCGAGAGGCGAAGGGCGAGGAGCGGCAGTGTTGGGACCGAAGAGACAGGAAGCCTTTGAGGGTTGCTGTCAGTTGGTAGATGGTCCCCGACGTCAGGGTAACGAGATTAGGTTGGATGTAGTCATGCAGGCAGGCCGACAAGATCAAGATGTCATCATGTCATGGTTCCTGGAATCCTGGTAGTCTCCAGAGTGCCGATGTTGCATTGATGGTATTACCATATTTTGAATATTGACCAATGTGTATGGGAGCGTTTCCCTCTCGGAGATGGTCATCTTCATCATCATAAGCCTGGGAAGATTTAGTATTCAGGACTTGTCATCTCATTCTATACTCACGACTTGGGCCAGGGGGAGCTGAAGACAAAGTAAAGAGTAAATAGTTGAATTTCAAGAAAGAATGCCGCAATTCAAGGTGGCACTGCGGAGTATACTCAGCCAAAACTCCGTTAATGAGAGGGACTGACAAGACGTGCCAGAGGCTGAAGACCATTCCGTCCTTGACGTAGCGTCAGGTACAAGCGACAGCTTCAGTCTCCCTGGCCCGGACCATTTGGGCAATTGTAAATGCCATGGGCTTATTTGGGTGGAGTTGGCGCGAAATGCGGTAATGCAATTCATCGAGTGATTTCCGTAGCAAGTGGAATGTACCTTTTTTTAGAGTGGACTTTGCCAGATTGAGTTATGCCGCAGGTTGGGCCAAGTTTAAGCGAGACTCGAGTACCGTTGTTCTTGTAAGGAGTACAGAGTACATGAACATGAGCGCGCTGTACGACATTCGGCTTGCAGATGATGTTCTTTTCACGTTCCCCATCTTTCTCTACCAACTCAATAAGGTAATTAGCGAAAATGACTGCTTGATAATGTCACTCAATGTCTTCCAGTACTTCTGGGGGCAATAAGTACAAGTAAGTAAGGTAAGGTATCTCTGCCCTCGCATTACCTTAACGCATGGCTCCTTGGGAAAGCGGCATGTTCCATTGATAGCGCCCCACGCTCCACGTCGGGGATATCGTCTCGTCTCCCGTGGCCTGGTTTCGAGTTTGTATATTGATGAGCCAGAAGTTCAGCAAATACGGGAGCAGCAGTCCATTGCTAAGTACCTTAGTTTACCAAGAAACCATGTATATTTCTTATGAAGTATCCGTAAAATAAAGTACCTCGAGAAAGATCACCATCCCGCAACCTCAGGCCCTGGTGTGCCGTCGGCCAATGAGAGATGGTGTTACCCTCAACGAGAAAGGAAGACGTTCTGAAGTAGCGAGGCACTGCAACTGTGTGGACAAGTACTTCGACGACCCCTCTGTGATTCCTTCCCCGGTCCCTTGTCCTGGTCCCGTCTGGTCCTTCCCAACTTGCGGAACACAACTTCCTCCATTTGGTCGGTACATTGGTACATGAGTACATCGATACATCCCCAAGTCGACTGTGACTCTTCGCATTGCTGCTGTTTCTTCCTGCTTCAACAACTTAAGTCAAGCATCCTTTTCTGCTCGGACTCTGCAATCAAATCAACATCAGCAGAAAGTGAATAAAGGGTGCAAAGCGGGAAAGATCAGAAATACCGGAAAGAGAGGAGAACGGCAACTGCAAGGCACAAGAGCAGGTCACGCGTCAACGTTGGGTTTCCCGCCAGCCTTACCTCATGACGCCCACGCCCACGCCCACGCCCACGCCCCAGAGAACTTGACCGGCTCGATCCGACATCCTTTGGATTCTATTCCGCGGAGTACGGATGCTCCAGTCTCCTACTGCGTTTAGTCTAGAGTTGGCCCTTGCAAATGCTACAAAACCAAACTCAACAAGCACCGCCTGCCCCGGAGCCTACCTATACAGTAGGTAGTAGTATTCGCAGCAACTGCAGCAGCGGCAGCAGCAGCCATCGTCAACTTCGTGCTCGACCAGTTGCCGCGCATCGCACCGCATCGCATTGCATCGCAGGTTCCCGGTCTACTGCCAGCCTTCAGCCTCCCCCTTCCACCTCCCATCACCGCCGCATCTTCCTCCGCCATCAACAGCTCCACGCAGCAGGCGACACACGTTGAGCACCAGAGACCTGCCTCCCGCACCACCCAAAACCAAGGTACCTACACACATCTGAGGGTCCCAGCCCTCCGTCCCCTGGTTTCCACTTCCAGCCCAGCCGCCGCCCAGCCCAGCCAGCCCTCCGAGAGCCCAAGGCCCTAGGCCCAAGGGTGTCACATCCCTCCGCTCCCTTTCTCCACAGCTCCAGAGTCTCTGCTAACATTTCGCTGAGATACAGGACACACAGAGTCCACCTCACACGCGAACGGCCGCTCAGGGTGCTCTAGCCTCACTCGCCCCGTCGTCATTGTCACCCGCCCTGTCGGTCACTGTCGCTGCCACCACGAGCTGCCCACTGCTTAGCACAGCGCAGCACAGCACAGCATCACTTCAGGCCCTCCTGCTTGCTTTGCTTTGCTTCGCTTCACTGCAACAGAAACAGGGAGAGAGACGGGGTGCTGCAAAACCTGAATCACGATTCACCGCAAACGCAACCACAACCGCAACCACAGCCCACGCACCACCTACTGCCACCCAACGACCCTGTGCCCCGTGGTTACCTTTCAGTCTCTCTTGTCTCGCGACGCGAACTCTCGACCTGATCTTTCTCTCCCTCTCCAGTCTGCTCCCATCGACGACACGACTTCAGACCAACTTATCCCAATCGAGAATACAATTCTATTCCTCTATCCGCCGTCTCCGACAATAACCCTCTTCTCTCCCTAGCAGTCTTGTCTGCTACGAATACTCTTTTCTCTTTCTCTCCGTTGCCTTGGCACTCCGTTCCGTCGCACAAAATACCTTCTGCGCCCTCGCCCTGCACCACAAAACGCACCAGCACAGGTACTTACTCCTGTACACCCTGTACTCCGTACTGCCATCCCCGTTAACGTGCTGAGGCAGTAGTCGACACACACACACAACTACAAGTACACACACCAGAGAGGTACCGGACTCACAACAGACTTAGCGTCAGCCTGCCTCCTTGTCCCGGCTCCCCCCTCCACTGTCGGAGCCTCTCCATTTCCACCTTCCGTGGGTCAGGCGTCAGTGTCAGTATTCCAGTGTTCCATCGGCCTCGTGGGAACTAGTTCGCCTTTCCAACCCTCGCTCTGGTGACAAATCCCCGCCATTCATTCTGTCAACCTGACGAAACCCGACAACCCTACAAACTACATCACGACAACAAAAACACCAACGGCGCCTACGATTTACGACTCACGACTCGAGATCGCTTGCCGTCGCCCACGAACTTTCTCCGACCGGGGATCCGAAACCCCCCTTCCCTCTCCTCTGACCGAATTCACGCGATTCCACGATCCGCCGACCGTTTGCTCCCTTGCTCGCACATCGCAGCCGCCCATTATGAGGCCCGCTGCCCCCTCAATAGAGATCATGGCTACCCAGTCAGCCACGCCGGACTCGCGATCCTCGTCGTCTACAAACTCGCCACTCCCTGCCGACAACGAGGAGTCAGACTTCTTCATCGCCGGCAACGATTCGCAATCATCACTCGGCGTCCCCAACATCGAGGACATGCAGGTTAGCGATGATCCGTGCCAACCCGCCGTCAACCGGCTCCCTAGCGAGATCCTCATCTCCATCTTCGCCAAGCTCAACAACTCAAACGACCTCTTCAACTGCATGCTGACATGCAAGCGATGGGCTAAGAACTCCGTCGACTTGCTGTGGCATCGCCCCGCCTGCACAAACTGGAAGAATCACTCGTCCATTTGCCTTACTCTGCAACTTGAGACGCCCTTCTTCGCATACCGCGACTTCATCAAGCGTCTCAACCTTGCTGCCGGTGGTCTCGCAGATAAGATCAGCGATGGCAGTGTCATGCCTCTGTCCGTATGCACTCGTGTCGAGCGACTCACCCTGACCAACTGCCGCAACCTCACCGACCAGGGCTTGACCAAGTTGGTGGAAAACAGCTCTTCGTTGCTTGCCCTTGATATCTCAGGCGACGAGCACATCACAGACGTCTCTATTCAAACTATCGCCGAGCACTGCAAGAGGTTACAGGGTCTCAACATTTCTGGCTGCCGCTTGATCACCAACGACAGCATGATACAGCTTGCTGAGAACTGCCGGTTCATCAAGAGGGTATGTTTGCTCTTTGCTTCCCTTGCTCCTTTGCCTATTTTTCTCCCTGCAGGCCTGGCCTGTATGCGCTTCGCGCTTGGCTCTCGCGCCCCGCATTGTGTTTTGGAAATTTCGCTGACATGACTCTCTTCTTCCACAGCTCAAACTCAACGATTGTGCTCAACTGCAAGACAATGCCATCCTTGCATTTGCCGAGAACTGCCCGAATATCCTCGAAATCGACTTGCACCAGTGTGCACAGATCGGCAATGAGCCCATCACTGCCCTCATCTCCAAGGGCCAGTCTCTCCGCGAGCTTCGGCTGGCAGGCTGTGAGCTCATCGACGACAGCGCCTTCTTGACTCTGCCCCCGGCCAAGACCTACGATCACCTGCGCATTCTCGACTTGACATCTTGCGCCAGACTGACGGATCAGTCGGTGCAGAAGATTATCGATGCTGCTCCACGCCTCCGCAATCTGGTGCTGGCCAAGTGCCGTAACATCACAGACGTTGCCGTTAATGCCATCTCAAAACTCGGCAAGAACTTGCATTATTTGCACCTTGGTCACTGTGGCCATATCACCGACGAGGCCGTTAAACGCCTTGTGCAGCAGTGCAATCGTATACGGTACATTGATCTGGGATGCTGCATTAACCTCACAGACGACTCCGTCACCAAACTGGCACAGCTTCCTAAGCTCAAGAGAATCGGTCTCGTTAAGTGCAGTAGCATCACCGACGAGTCTGTGTTCGCGCTCGCTCGCGCCAACCATCGCCCCCGGGCACGCCGCGATGCGCATGGCAATATTGACGAATACTATTCGTCCAGCCTCGAAAGAGTCCATCTCAGCTACTGCACCAACCTTACACTCAAGGCATGTTGTCGACCCATGTAAAATTGACAATTTCTCACACTAACATTATCATAGAGTATCATCAAGTTGCTCAACTACTGCCCACGCTTGACCCATCTCAGTTTGACAGGTGTCACTGCTTTCCTCAGAGAAGAATTCGCCGAGTTTTGCCGACCTCCTCCGCCTGGTAAGACATGTTTGGTCCCTTGTCGTTGGTATACAAAAAACTAACAAGACGTGCACAGAATTCACGGATCACCAGCGAGGCGTCTTTTGCGTTTTCTCTGGCGTCGGCGTCACGAAGCTCCGCGATTATCTCAACACCTCTCCCGAATACGAGGGTCTTCGCGACTCTCCTGGCCCTCGCTTCCCAGGGCTCTCGAGCTTCCCTGCACGTCGGGCCGCCGATCCCCGCGCAACGGCTGGACACGCTGGACAGACCAACGGGGATGTTGAAGTTGACGAAGCGGAGGTGCCAGAGGACGACGAGTTTGAAGGTCTTGACGGCAGTGAAATGGCAGTGGACGGCCAGCCCTTGTTGGCACAAAACCTTGTGAACGGCAATACCCAAAACGGTGTGCCTCCGCCCCCGCCGAACCATGTGCCTCCGGCTGGCGCTGTGCCCATGTTCGCCCAACCACTCGGACAGGCTCCCTTGTTGTTCAGCCCTACCAGCCCCAGCTTTCCGCAGTCAACTCGTTCACCAACAGCCGGGGGACCGGCAAATCATCCGCCGCCTTTGGTCATCTCCAGCCACTACTCCCCAACGAGTGCCGGACCCAGCACATCGACGGCGAACGCACTCTCGCCGCAAGGCACCAACCTTGGCTTTCCCGCATACACAAATCGGAGACCTGCACCCCTTGGTGCCAGCACGGCATCAATGGAAGCGTCAATGTTGAGCCCCGTCTCGCATCGCAGTCGGCCGGCGAGTGTCATATCCATGGAGGCGTCTATGCTGGGACCTCTGGACCCGGATATGGTTGAGCCTACCACACCAAACGGACAACAGCAGCATTGATAAGCGAGAGGGCACTGAAGCAGGCTCGGATATCCTTTGGGGGAAGCGATTGGAGACTATGATACGCTGGCATGAGATACGCAACGACAATATACCCAGGAGCGCGCAGGGAAAACACCGGTACACAGAGGGTTTGGAACAGGCAAGGTGTCGGTTACCCTTTTTAACGCTTGGTTGGACTTTTTTGGGGGTCCATGTAGCCTTTTGGCATTGTTTGGCAACGGTCTAAAGGATGCGTGCAGCAAGCACAAGTATATCCTTCCTCGTGGATGATTGTGCTTGGTTGTGGCACTTTGGGCAGTTCTAGGCTTGAGATCAACACACCTTGGCCGCTTGGAGGCCAAGTCTTATTGACCTGTTAATAGTCGGTGATAGACTATGGATGTTTTATTTCACTCTGTCCTCTCTGAGATTGGGAGCAACATGGCATACTGTCAGGGGGGCAAGGTTTAGTTCGGCCTCGAGGCCGCGGTATTAAATTAGCAAAGCATTGACATGGAATTGCAGTATTTACTCGACTTGTACGAAATTTCTTTCTCTCACGAATCGTCTTTCTCTCTTTTCAGATGAAATTGACTATCCCGCCCATACCAAACGAATCGCAGGTGTGAATGATGTTGATGGAGTTGTCAATCTCTGGAAGAATCCCAGAATATCTGATTTGATAGAACCGCTGTCTCCTCGCTGTGCTATGCTAGCTATTCGCTATGACGATGTGGACCGTTTGACTCCCGACGCCCCGTGTGCCATGGCAATTGCGTCTTTCTCCTCTCCAACCCTGGAAAGTGGAAAGACAATGCATTCAAAATAGGCGTGAAGCATTTCTGCTCCATCACCACCCACCCCCTCCTTTACCAAAAGCCAGGAATGATCGGTCCGCCGTCCTGGACCGACTCCGCAAGCTTCTTGGCCACGAAGCAGTGCACCAGATCCCTCGAGGCCAAGGCATCTTCCAGGCTGTCGTGACCGACCCTACCCTTTTGGATGTCACGACCAAGCATCTCGGATGTCAGCGCCTTGAGGGAGAGCCCGCCGGCCTTGCGCTTCTGGGGCTTCTTCTCGGCGAGGCCTCCTCCCTCCTCGGTGTTTTCCGAGGATTCGGGCTTATCGAATGAGATCAGGTCTTCTTCCTCCAAGCTGACGCCGCCTTGGGCGACGGCTTCAGCAGCAGCCTCAGCGGCAGCTCTCTCGGCCTCCTTATTGGCTCTCTCCTCCTCCTCCGCTTCCAGTCTCTCAATCTCGGCTCGCACGTTAGTAGCGAGGATCAAGGAGTCCACCACCTTGGGGTGAATCCACCGCAGTGATGCGAGGTCATTGTGGACGGCGTGTCCGACGACAATGGTCTCAGCGCTCACCCACTCCCACAAGGCGGCCCTGACGTTGGCCAGCCCGCCAGTGATACACTTGCCCTTTGATCGCGCAGCCTGCATGTCTTGGCGGGAGACGCCCGAGAAGCGCGTGTTGTAGTGCGCCATGCGGACCTGCGGGTAGACGAGGCTGTCGAGGAGGATCTCTGATGTGAAGTAGTCGACGAGGGTGACGCGAATCAGTTCAGATTCACCGTCGTAGGCCACGCCCATTTCGCAGTCCATGGCGACGGCGCGACGCGGCGCCCTCTGAGCGGACGTCACAGTGTCGATACCCAGGTCCAGGAGGGCGTGGGTCGGGGTCTTGTGAAATTGGTGACGGTCGTGAATTTCACCCGGGGGGTAATTCCGGACAAGGTGCTCTGGAGCGTACGTGCAGCCCGGCTCGGAAACGTGGACTCTGCAGCAGTTCCACCGCTGTATGCGTTAGATAGATTTGGCAAAGGGAATAAAAGTGAGGGACGAGGGAAGGTGCAAAGATACCATGTTTATGACGCGGCCGGTGTGATACTGACACTTGAGGACCGGCTTTGCGGGCTTCTCGTCTCCCTTTGCGCCCTCGGGCTCCTCGTCGGCCATGGAAGAAGATCTAGTGAACGTCTTGGTCTTGGGCTGGACGGATGAGGACTTTGCATCGGCTTGTGACCCCTTCCCAGGCGATTTGAATTTGTTTCTGTTATTGGAGCCTGCCTTGGGGTCAGTATCGTGATGGTGATGGTGAGGAACGACAAGGGGGTCTGGGAGAGAAGAGAGGCTGATGGACAAATACTCACAGCGGAGGTTGCATCTGCGGCATCGCTTCTTATCGTCAATATCTCTCTCAGATAGTGGATTGAGAATGAAGCCGCTCTTGAGGAGGATGTCTTTCCGATGGGCCATAGACCGGAAGTGGTATAGGTAGCTCTGGGTCGGCTCGATGACGAGGGACGGGGTCCCGTACGGGTTCTGGGGTTGCTGGCAGGAAGCCATCTTGATTGATGGCACTGTCACCAACGATATCGTGCTGCTTCTTGTTTACAGTGCTGAGATCTGTGTAGGGAATAAATATCGTGAGTGGTGATTCATCAGGCGGCGTCGATGAGCCGCTAGCTCCGAAGAATGATGATGAAGAGTGTGCGGCGGTTGAGGCGTTGATGAACGAGCGTGGCCAAGGCGCGACTTCCAGCCTTTGAAGAGCCAAGATCGACTAGTTGCCTCCTGCAGATTGAGAAATCAGTGGTTATGAAAGGCAGAAGGTGAGAATTTGATGCGGCAGCGGCGGAGGTGAGAAGTGAAGTGAGCTGAGAGGTGAAGTGAGGGCAGGTTCGGATTCAGCGCAGCAGCAGGCAGCGGAGGGAAGGTTTTCTGCAGCCAATTGTCTCTCATCTCATGTCGCGCGTCCCCTTTGGCCGTTTGCTCTTTCCCACCAGTAACGCGCATGCCCGCGTTTTCCTTCTCTTTCTGTCTACCTACTTCTCTTCCTTCTTATTCTGTTGGTTTACGTTGTTTCCTGGACGAGTATTTCCACTTCCACGTGAGGCACACTGACGATGAATTTGGGGAAATCACAAGCCCCACTTTGGCAGGTACCCGATGACCGGACGATATATCTGAGCAAGAGACTAGTAATGTCGGTGATATGTTCATCTTATACTTCTCATGTCGTCTTAGTTGTGTCCAGACTCGAACTTGACTATGAGTCCCGACCCAAAGAATTCGGCCGGTTCACGGTGTTCAAAAAACTGGTTGCTAATGGGCGAGTTGTTGTGCTGCACATGTGAGGGGCCGTAGGCTACTATGACCACCATAGTTCGTCCGCCACGTTGACCCGTGGCTATTTTCTATTAAGCCGTTTGGTACTACGGTTGTTGGAGTAATGGACCAAATCGAATTCCCACTCTCAAGAGGCTTCTGATATGAAGAGCAGCTATGGTTGGCGCCAAGTGAAGTGTCACCATTTTTCAGAGGAGTTTCTCCTGGAATTGAGAACGCAAAAGTATAGGAGAAAAAAAGTGAGAATTGTCGCCTCACAAGCCAAAAGAACGCAAAACCACGCAGAAAGTGAGTTTCAATTGCCCGAATGCCGGTCCAGGGACTTGGACATAAGCTCGGAGGTCCAACCAGTATCAGATGAGAATGTCGAGATGGGAGATCAAAGTTGCCATCACGGCAAAAACGACCCCCAGAACCCCAGAGCGCGTCCAATATTCCAACCATGCTATGTCAAGGCATCTGTTGGAGGGATGTTAAAGGTCTAGCAGACCCGTTTCATTTATCACTCTCCATGTTGCAGCCATGTATGGAAGTTTTGATAAGAGTGTTGAGACAAGGCAAGCTAACACTTCACAGTGATTGATCCGGCCCACATGCGGTAGGCCACCAGGTACCGGTATACTGATAGGCCGATGAGACTCAGCGACAAGAGAATCCTGTTAAATCCTATAGGAAGCATAGTCAGGTGAATATGTAAGAGCCGATTTACCTGAGGCAGGCAGGCTCAGGTGGCGTGGCGCCATGTGGGCTCCCTCAAAATGAAGAATCCATGCCCCTGACAGCTCGGAAGCGGAGACGACGAATGAGAGAAATGGCATAATAGAAGCGAAATGGAACGGGAGTATCGCGAGATAGAGTGCGGTATGCTTCTCTGGCAGCAGCCGTTGACTTTCTAATCAACTTACCCCGCCATTCTTCTCACCCAAATGGCGGGGTAAATTGGTGATCACCTCGGTGAGGCTGCCTTTCACCGAAGCTCACCTCCCTCACCTTGACCCATTTGTTTCCTCCAACTGCCGGCCCCACCCATCGATGTTGACTCGACCCACTCAAACGTGCTCTCGCGTCCCGCGCGGGAACATCACAGCGCGGTGATGTTTCCCTCAAAACAAGGCGATAGAATTGTTTGCATTATCTCCGACAACAGTACTCATAGGCCCAGAAATCTGTTCAAGACGTAGGTACCCGGAGATTTTAAGGGTACCGTAGCGGGGATGTATTCGCCACAAAAGCAGAGACGCCGGAGGAGGCCGGGAGCTCCCTGGCCCAGTGAAATGGGCCACTTAACCATTCGTGCCCTGCTAGATAGGTCAACGAAATTCGCAGGAAGCTCAACCACAAGGCCACATAGGCCGAAGGGAACGATGTACGCATATACCCTCTCGTCCACCCAGAGACGTTGACTGACCTTAAAGGGTTTCCCGAAAAGAATAAGGCAAGCTAGACGATGGAGACGGCAAACACCAATCCCTACCCCACCAACAATGCAGAGGCTGGCAGTATGGACTCATAGCTGGTGCATTAATAATGGGAATCTGCGAGATGCTGAAAGTCAACACAAATGGTGTCAGCGGCGATGTCTTAAGGCATCAGATGTGATGCTTGACATGCGGACATCCTGACGAAATAACTCGAATCATTCATAATCTTTAGCTCATTTGGGATGCTGGCGGCGGCAGACTCTTCAATCACCTACTGCCCGGCATTGTCTAGTTTGGCCCGCAGTTGTCCATCGTACTTGGTGAAGAAAAAGTAATGCTAGTGGAGTTGCGGTATAGGCGGGATTGATCACAGGAGCTTCAGGAAGGCGGTCGGATCCCTCATTAGAGCTGATGAGTCGACTATTGAAGACTTGATTGGTATTCAAAGGTGTTCATACCTAGAAAACCAGCAAGGAGAGGAGAAGTGGCGTTAGTGACAATGAAAGGTCCAGTGACACTGAAAGTGGTATTGTTGGAAGTGGTAGAAATCGGACACGATGGATTCCTCGAGCTGTGGATCATTTTGCCACCTGATCATGCCCTTACGTAGTAGTTCATCCTAATTACATGCTTTGATGAGGCATGTCAGCGGCCACCTCGAAGCTGTGGGGCTTGACGAAGCTTATGAGGACGGCGACGTCTAGCAAATGCACATCGCCGGACGAATCCAAGCTCAGTAAACCTCGACGAATATTTCCTCGTCAACATTTCAGGGAAGTCCCTTGGAATGAACTATTGCTTTAGGCAGAAGTAGCACTGACACACAGATCCTGGCCGGCGGTCTTAGACTCGAACACAGAATGAAAAGTTCAAACACCGAATCCGGGGAATGTCGAACGCTATCGGGTGATTGCGGGCGGCGTAGTAACGCGTGGGGCAGAAACAGCGGTCACCAGATCACAGTGTAAGCAGCAACCAAAGAAGCCAGAGTACTGAAGAACGGTTGAATTCTGTGCTCATGTTGACTGGTCTGAGGTTTCAGCAAGATGAAGTCGGAATTTCCAGACACAGGCAGATATGGGTTGTCTCAATAGCGCCACGAATGATGAAGATTTACGCATCACCTACACAGGACAGTAGTCATTTCGATTCCCAAGATTAACAACTGCTGCTGCTGCTATTTGGAGAGATCCATTGGGTGGAGAGGCGAAGTTATCGTGGTCTAGGTACGTTTTCCATCTTACATTACAGGCGAGCCAAATCTTCAGACTCCGTTTGCAAGCGCCGAGTTCAGATACCATCCCACTCCAGATGTAGAATGGAATCGGGGACTTCATAGGCGGCGAGCTTTTCGATAGCCTCAGCGGCGGTGCTTGCTTCCACCACAATCCCTGCATTAGCCTGGCGAATGAACTTTTCCTCGGCAGCTCGACGAATCCAGCCCAGTATTCCATCCCAGAAGCCGTTAATGTTTAGCAGGCAAACACCGCGCTGATGAATTCCAAGCTGAACCCACGTCGCAACCTCCAGGATCTCCTCGACGGTGCCGTAACCACCAGCCAGAGCTATGAAGCCGGATCCGGGCCCTCCAGCAATCACCTCTTCCGCCAACATGCGCTTGCGCGTATGCATGTCCTTGACAATGGTTGTGCGACCGTACGTGGCCTCCTCCGGAATGGGCATGTTTCCCAAAGCCACGCTGCTGTAGGTACTGTCTCTCTCAAATTTGACGAGTGCTTCGGGAATGATGCCGTGTACTGAGTCGGGCCCTGATAGTGAGACCAGGGTTTTGGCCACTTCCCCCATGAGCCCAACGGTCCCTCCGCCATAAACTACCGTGATGGTTAGAGATTTTTGACCAGATCCGGCTTCGACTCAATATTTGTGAATTTACCTAACTTGGCTCCTCTGGCAGCCATGAGCCTCGCCAAATCTCGCGCAGTCTGCAAGTGGGCAGGGTCATTGCCGGTTGACGAACCACAGTATACGCATATCGTGATACCTCGTGCAGGTTTTGCGACTTCAGCCATCTTGCTGCTGGTAGTGGTAGCGTCAGACATATTGTCTGTGACTCCTCGAGAGAATGTGGTTGAAGCTTATCTTCTGTCGAAGGTGGAATGATGAGACGGATTGCAGCTGGCTATAACATGCTATATGAGCTTTCAGACTGACCGCATCGGATTATTCAAGCACGAAATTGATAGAATGCCTGGACTATTACCGGACTAGAATTTAATGCACTAAAGGTACAGCAGTCACGTCAATCAACAATGGGAAATTATTGAGTAATGGAATCGGATATCGGAGCCTGCCGCCCGTTACTGGGTTGGAGTGACTCACATAAGAGGCATCTGGCTGGCTTCTACCTTATTCTTCAGGCGCTCATATTTTGTGTTAATTAAATGCCAAGAACCAAGCTGATCACTCCCGCCCATTGGGAAGCTGCCCCTGAGCAAGTGGACACATTCGTAGAAACTTGCAAAGGTAGAGGGCGAGCATGCTTGAACTAAGGATCAGATCCTTCAGGCAGACGAAGACACCATCGAATTGCACAATTTTTGGAATCATCACAATACATTCGACAGGAACCACCAGAATCTTTGTATACCTATCAAGTCTGCAAAGCTGGAAGGAAATGCCACCATCAATACGTACACTTTCCACAGTATGAACAGCTCTCGGAACAGGCTGTATAGTCACCGTCGCCGTCGCTCCACTGGAGTTCATCCTCGTCATCCGCACTCGGGCCATCCTGTGTATCATCACCACGTAGCCACATTGCCCATTCTTCCTCAACTTCACTAGAGAATGCCGGAGATAGTCCAGGGCACTGAATCCGAATGTCGAGTTTGTCAAGCTGTTGGCGGCTGACCTCAAGCCTGTCATTCCTCCGCGCACGAGCAAGGCGGACAATGTGAGAGAGAAGCGCCGCTAGTCGAGACAGCTCCTGGTTTTTCGAGATCTCCCAGGCTTTGACCTCCTGAGTCACATCCATGACCTCAACATCCTTGAACGTGCCTCTGTCATGGTAGGCCAAGATGAAGTTAGGAATTTGGGCAACCCATAGCCGCGGGAGTTCCTCTCCAAGGAAATCAGTGCCTTTGCGCTTAACTGACCGAGTCTTGAGATCAAAAACTGCAGATTGGGGCACCTCGAACCCGCCACTCTTCAATTGCACTTGCTGGTGCGGGGTCTGCGGGCTCTTTGGTGCCATCTCCTTGACTTTGAGACCTTCGATGAGGCCATTGACCGAAGCTTGTTCAACAAAGGTGGGACCAGAGAGGTTTGTAGACGGTCCTTGCTTGTGTTTGAGGTAGCCGTCACCCTCATGACGAATAAGGCAACGCAGACCCCCAAAG